AGAATGCCACAAGATATGCCAGATAGAATCCCAGAAGATTTGCCAGATAATATGCCAGAAGATATGCCAGATAGAATGCCAGATAGAATGCCAGAAGATATGCCAGAACATCTGCCAGAAGATATGCCAGATAGAATGCCAGAAGATATGCCAGAATATATGCCAGAAGATATGCCAGATAGAATGCCAGATAGAATGCCAGAAGATATGTCAGATAGAATGCCAGAAGATATGCCAGATAGAATGCCAGAAGATTTGCCAGATAGAATGCCAGAAGATTTGCCAGAAGATATGCCAGAACATATGCCAGAAGATATGCCAGATAGAATGCCAGATAGAATGCCAGAAGATATGTCAGATAGAATGCCAGAAGATTTGCCAGTAAGCAAATGTATAAATGTCATGGTGGGGATCACACGAAGTAAAGTAATTTGTGATTGGCAGTTTTGTCCTCTTAGTTTTCTTCATCGAAACACCCCTTGCAGTGCCTGGCAGGTGAAAGGCCAAAGCTTGGGGCTGACTGAGGTGAACAAGTTCGTGACGCCAGTCCAACGCTTTATCCAGCTGAAGTATCCGTCAAGCACAGCAGAGTTCAAGTTTTGTGCCCAAGTCTTCATGGTGCTCAAAGCTGGGCTTTCCGTGGCTCAGTCCTTGTCGAAGTATGAAAGCATTGGAGATTCAACAATTGCCAGAGTTGGGAAGGATTCGAAAGATGCTTTGCTGCACAAGGTAGGGACTGCCTGGACTTTGTTCAAGGACACCTGCAACAAGTTGAGTGAATTGAAGTCCAGCTGCGCCACTTCTCTCGGAGAACTTCAGCCGGCAGAAGCTTTTGGGGAGGTTGACAAAGACAAGGTGTTCTTGGATAGTGTGGGGTATCGTTGTGTTGAGTTGAGCAAGTCACTTCAGCGCTGTTGCGAGAATGCCATCAAAGTGGTTGACGGTTTGCAGGGTGGTGCATGGAGGGCAAGTGTGGCTGAAGATGCTGACATTGCTGCTTTGAAAGCTGCTTCGGTAGAGACACTCAAACGTCTTGACGGCCAACAGGTAAAGGGGGCAGTTGACAAGCTTGAGCAGGCCGGTTTCGTGGTCATTGGTTTTGTCAGATTCTCACCAAGCACACCAGTACTACTGTTGCTATTATATTACTGATCAAAGGTTAATGATTTAATGATGGTTAACGGTTCATGAATTAAAAATCAATGATTGATTAATCAATCAATCCGGTACTGTTGTTCAACTTTTCGCATTCAATTCAAGCAAATTGAGCTCAGCCTTATTTGTTGCTTGTGGGCTGCAACAGGCACCTAGTCTCACTAGTCATAGTCACTTGAATTTCAATCATGTCGAAGATGTAGGTGCTGCAAAGCAGCTGCTGAAGTCACTTAGAGTCTTAGAGTCAGAGACTTAGTTAGCAGTTTCTGTTTCAGGCAATTGCATCCGGCGATGCTTTTGTGGAGAAGTTTGGTGGATTCATTACCGATACCATGTTCAACGCAGAGGGCAGTTCTGAGGCTAAGCATTCTTTGTCACAATGTCTCGAAGAAGCCTCACCCATTTTGCGCGGCGTGGCCAGTCTCATGGTAGAGCAGTTGTTGATCAAGGCCACGTCAGTGCCTGCTGGTGATAGGTCTGCTCTGCGTGGGAAGATCCAGAGCAGCATTGCAGGCAGTAGGTATGGCTTGCAAGAGTCAGATGTTCACCCGTCCCTCCTGGTCAATGTGGCATGAGCAGGGCTACTTTTGGAGATTCTCGATGTGAGCGAATTTAGCGTTCTTGGCTTTCGAGGCCATCTGCCTGTGAAAGGCTGTCATTGTTTGACGGCCGCAGCTGCGAATGGGTCACTAGGTCCCTAGTTACTAGGTACTAAGTCAGTAGATTGTCAATTTGTTGTCAAAACTTCGAATCAGAACAGTTGAGATCAGATACAGATATATGATATTCAGTTCATTTTGATTGACTGGCTGTTTTTGGCCTTAGCAGTGGTATAGATGGAATGTATGGCAGTATGGCTTCTTGGCCGATTGCCAAGACGCGAGACAAGCATCTGGCCACGTCGGCCAGGGGCCCGCTCAAAGACGACTCAACGACTGCAGTCAGAGAGAAAAGATTCAAATATTAATATCAATAATAATAATTATTATTATTATTATTTTAATAATTAGTATGATGTGCAAATCAGTGAGCCGTTTGTTATTTTTGAATTGTTGGCAAGATATGTTTTACAATGTTTACGTTTACGCTGTACTGAACTGTACACTCTGTCCACTGTCCACTCTTTTTACACTGTTTGTACTGTACATATATCTATTTACATATGTTTTTAAATAGTACATGTTTATAGTGATCTCATGGGATACAATATATCTATGACACTATGACATATGTTCTTTTTTTAGTTATATATATATATATCAAATTAGATAGATTAAATCTTAATATTTGTATATACCTGACAAAGTTTTAGTTTGTTTTCTTTCCAACCAAATTTATCTGTTAATTTTTATGGTTTATTCAATTTATTTCTTTGAATAAAATAAGTATTCAATATATATATATATATATTTAGACATTAAAAAATGTAATATATATATATATATAGATCAATAAATTATACCGGAAATCGCTGTTTTTAAAGTATAGAATAGATTGTGCATTCTCTTCTGTCCTATGTTCCTGGCTTTTATCACACAGGTTTGATGGATGGGGTCTTAGTCTTAGCAGATGGCTGAAACAGATTAATGATTAATACTTTCAAAAAGACTTCCAAGAAGAAGACACCGACAAGTCAGGTAGGTGGATGAGTAAACTGAACATTGTAGAATATTGTAGATAGATGGCTAGAAGGGGCTAAGATGACAGACAGACAGACAGAGAGGCAGACAGGCAGGTAGACAGGCTAGCTAGAACGGCTAGCGGCTAGAGGCTAGAAAGATAGATAGAAAGATAGATAGATAGATAATGGAAAAACAACTTGCCTGATCTCATTCCTCTAATCGTATAGCCTGATCTCACTTGCTCTTTGCCTGTGGATGACACACATACAAATAAAAGCTTTGCAAATTGGTCCATGTCATTATTTCTTTCTTTCTGGGAAAATGGATGTCTTTCTATATCTGAGGGACATACAGACAGAACATGAGGGCTGGAAAAGAGCCTTTCTGGAATACACTTAGAAGTACCTTTTGAGCATACACACAGAATACACTTGGAACACAAAAAAACATTTTGGACATTTCCAATGTATGGCTGCTGTGGGTGGTTGTAACTATAAGAAGCCATTGCCGCGGCCGGAAGGTGCCCTTGAGCCATTGCTGTGGCCTTGTGGTGGCTTTTGCGTGCGGGAGTGGCGCGTGTTGGGCTTGTTGGGGTACCTTGTCCCTGCGGAGCTATGCGAACTTTTGGAGCGTTTGGAGGGTTGTGGAGGGTTTGAGGCCTGGCAAACGGCAGCCTTGAACGCCTATAAGAAGCCATTGCTGCGGCCGGAAGGTGCCCTTGAGCCATTGCTGTGGCCTTGTGGTGGCTTTTGCGTGCGGGAGTGGCGCGTATTGGGCTTGTTGGGGTACCTTGTCCCTGCGGAACTATGCGAACTTTTGGAGCGTTTGGAGGGTTTTGGAGGGTTTGAGGCCTGGTAAACGGCAGCCTTGAACGCCTATAAGAAGCCATTGCTGCGGCCGGAAGGTGCCCTTGAGCCATTGCTGTGGCCTTGTGGTGGCTTTTGCGTGCGGGAGTGGCGCGTGTTGGGCTTGTTGGGGTGCCTTGTCCCTGCGGAGCTATGCGAACTTTTGGAGCGTTTGGGGGGTTTTGGAGGGTTTGAGGCCTGGCAAACGGCAGCCTTGAACGCCTATAGTGGCGCGTGTTGGGCTTGTTGGGGTACCTTGTCCCTGCGGAACTATGCGAACTTTTGGAGCGTTTGGAGGGTTTTGGAGGGTTTGAGGCCTGGCAAACGGCAGCCTTGAACGCCTATAAGAAGCCATTGCTGCGGCCGGAAGGTGCCCTTGAGCCATTGCTGTGGCCTTGTGGTGGCTTTTGCGTGCGGGAGTGGCGCGTGTTGGGCTTGTTGGGGTACCTTGTCCCTGCGGAGCTATGCGAACTTTTGGAGCGTTTGGAGGGTTTTGGAGGGTTTGAGGCCTGGCAAACGGCAGCCTTGAACGCCTATAAGAAGCCATTGCTGCGGCCGGAAGGTGCCCTTGAGCCATTGCTGTGGCCTTGTGGTGGCTTTTGCGTGCGGGAGTGGCGCGTGTTGGGCTTGTTGGGGTACCTTGTCCCTGCGGAGCTATGCGAACTTTTGGAGCGTTTGGAGGGTTTTGGAGGGTTTGAGGCCTGGCAAACGGCAGCCTTGAACGCCTATAAGAAGCCATTGCTGCGGCCGGAAGGTGCCCTTGAGCCATTGCTGTGGCCTTGTGGTAGCTTTTGCGTGCTGGGCGTGTTGGAAAAGTTCCACACCTGCGGTGGTCCCAGGCGCCGCCCCGGCCTTGGCGAAGGCCGGGGTCGGCGGATTTTTGGTATCATGCATTGTGATGTATTGTGTATTTATCAAATACTATACTTCGTTATTGTGATGTGCTGCATTGCTGTATTTCTCAAACATATTTGCAACTGAGGTGAAGCTTGTACGGTGCGCCGTCTCTTTACGAACTGGGTCAGGGGCTGCAGTGAAGTTGTGTGCGTGCTTTCCCACATTGCAGGGACAGGAGGACCAGTTGCTCCAGTTTTCCAAAGTCATTTGTTCCATGCCATGCGAAGACTACACTCTTCTCGGGTTGGCTGAGTGAGGTCTACTATGATGGATTGGTTCACACCAGACTTCCAGTGTTTGTCCCAGCTATAAGACATTTCCTGCATGCAGTGTTTCTGTTTTCAGTCATATCATTTCATATCTCCGGCTTTGGCGCAGCTGCTGACACAGTTCTGACACGGCTCTTTTGCCTGTCCTTTTCGGCCGCTTCTTTTCATTGTTTTCTTTGCACCAGAACTTGCGCAACTTGCACCTGCCCAAGGTGCCAGCTTCCCAGCCAGAGAACCTCACTGCCTTCTCCATCTCACCCAGCCACGATATCTCGTACACGTCTCTCAATGTCTCTTGGGAAGCTTGGCTCGGCATTTTGTGCATTTTGTGGCTTGTTTACTTGTTTTGCCACTTTGGTCCGGAGGTGGAGGATGAAGGAATTTTAAGCGAGCACGCACAATTGTGATGATTTAAGGGCAAAGGGCATACATACACCATACAAAGATACGAGGATATATTTACGTTTGGAACCAAGCAACCCTTTACACTTGTTTGGTTGTGCACCAAGCCATCTTTGCATCCTCGGTGGTTGGTCAGGAATTAGCAAAAACAAATGTACATGTGCACATCCACATATGTATAGAGAATATACCCAAATGCAAAGGCAATGACAATAGATGCAAATTTGCTTCTACATACACAAATACGAACACACACACAGTGCATGTAGATATTCATTAATACTTACTACTTATAACTTATAACTTACATATACTTATTTATACACATGTCACACACACACATATATGTATCTCGTATATCTACCAGCAGGATCCTTTTGCCGGTGAAACAAAAAGCTTGGTCAAGTGGTCAAGCAAAGGACGCTCATCCTCCTGGAGAATGCATCTTCACCGGCTGGAAGGTGGCTTTCCGAGTGCTATTTTTGAGCGCAGCTTGAGTAGCTTGAGCATGGACGTCCTGAAAATCTGTGTCAATCCCGGAATGGATCGGACTCTTGAATCTGGTTGAATCTAGATTGAATCTGGAATCTTTCAGAATTCACGCAGGTTGACACGAACATCCATGGCCAAGCAACCAATTGGCAGGACTTGATCCATTTGACAGTGTCTAATCAAGACTTTCAGTGGCAAATCTAGATACTGACCGATCTATATACTACATAAAAATGCCAGTTAATGTGAAGGTGCAAGGCGTTTCTGGTCAGTCACTTTAGCTATTTGGAAGCTCTCGGGCTGCAAAAGGAGTCTGCGGAATGCCGTGCAAACCCTCGAGTGCCGTTCACATGCACCATCACAACGGGACTGTCCTGGACTTGGCATTGCAAAGCTAAAAGCTAGGGGGTCAACCTTTGGAAAGTGGATCATGTCGGGTCTTGTACACTTGCATTTCATTGCGCATTCGGCGTATCCCAGGTTCAGCAACGTCTACTACGACATGCGGATATCAGAGACATGTGTTCAGACCTCAGCCAAGTTATCGCGAATTGCTGCACACTTGAGCTTCAGGAGCCAATCGATTTTGTGTTTGAATTTCTTTGACAGATTGCGAGTACAGAAGAGCGCAGGAAGCGAAGCTTGTTTCCACCGCCACAAGCATTATAAGCGATATCGAAAACAGGCACTGGAACGTTGATACCTGAAGTATCCTGAAGTCCTGAGGTTGATCCAAATGCTGCGGGAGAGACCTTGATTGTCTACAACATTGCCCGAACTCGTCCAGTCCCTGCAGTTCGTACCTCAGTTTGCGAGGCCCTAGAGATTGGCCAGTTGCCGCCATAGTTGCCATCTCAGACTTTTATAATCTTAGCTCGCACTGAAATCACTTTCCTTCCCAAAGGTTGCACCTATCCTGGTATCTGTGTTTGCAACGAGTGCGCGCTCTTTGGTGAGAGCCTCACTTGATTTCACTCACCAGAATGGAAGAAGCTTTAAAACATTTTAAAACATTGTTAAATCGTTTGAGAGATCTTGTGAGATGCACCTGGCCTGCAATTCAAACTGCCCAGTGATAAATTGCACCCAGGGTGTGACTTTCGTCCCTCAAGCTGCTGGGCAATGTGTCTTCAAGGCCAGGAAAGACTTGAAAAGCGCTGTCAGGGTATTGTGAAAGTGTTACATGGATTTACATGGTAGAGCAGTAGTGTTACATGGTGACAGAGAGGGAGAGCAGTTTTGGTCGCCAGGGCTATGCCATGCAATGGAAGTTACTGGGTGAAACTGAGTGGCAGCATGGGGGCTCAGATGACTACTGGAGGGGAGACTTCAAAGGTTAATCAAGGACTTCACATTTTGACTTGCACACAGCAATAGCATTGAGTGGCAAGTTTTGCTGTGATTTGATCTGAGTTCAGGATGTCGCTAGTTGACCAACGCAGCCCAGGTCTAACGAAGCTTGTCTAACGAGAATGTCGGCTAGTTGCTCTGTGAGTGGCTTTCCCTTCAGCCAGAGTTTCTACACTGCCAGAGGCTCAGCAATTCGAAGATCGAACTCTTCGAACTGATGCAACATCGATACTCAGAAAGACATCTTTCGATTTCGTTCTGGAAGATATGGAAGCCCTGCTGGAGCTGATTCAGCATGATTCAGCTGATGGTTTCAACATATTTAAGCGCTTACGCCTGACAGCCGGGCGCCGGCAGAGAAACGGCCTGAAGTCAGTGTAGGGAGCATGTTGCGCTCATGTTGAGGCTATGTTGGCAATATGTTAGACCATCCGGGATTGAAGGGCCGCTCTTGGGTCCATGTTGGGCCAGGTTGTGCCCATCTTGGGCCTATCTTGGGCCCATGTTGGGCCTATGTTGGCCTATGTTGGCTCCAGCTGCTTGCCACCTCTGGCAGCAGGCAGCCCCAAAGCACAAGCTGTACGTATGCTTAGCTTCCAAAGGACAGGCTGTCTGCTCTTGTGACGTGTCTGAAACAGCAAAACACCAGCTAATTTCGTGTCCAAAAGCTAGCAGGACGGAGAAGCCACAAAATCACACGAAAAAAGCACCGCACGTCCTTTGTGACGCGTCCGACAAAGCAAAGCATCACCTAATTTCGTGCCCCCAAAAAAGCAAAAAAGGCAACAGAAAATGCTTAACGTCTTTTCTGAAAAACTACTAAGACAAACAGTTTATCAGATTTTCAGCTTTTCCAGCTGCTTGCAAGAGCAGCCAGCCAGCCAGCCAGCCAGCCACCCAGCCCCAAAGCACAGGCTGTATGTATGCTTAGCTTCCAAAGCACAGGCTGTCTGCCGTTTGAAACAGCAAAGCACCACCTAATTTCGTTCCCAAAAAGCTGGAAAAAAGACAACAAAAAATGTCTAACGTCCTTTCTGAAATCCCACTAAAACAAACAATTCTCCAATAGTTTTTCAATTTTTCAACTTCTTTGAACTTTTCCAGCTGCTTGCCACCTCTGGCAGCCAGCCGGACGGCCAGGCAGCCCCAAAGCACAAGCTGTATGTATGCTTAGCTTCCAAAGGACAGGCTGTCTGCTTTTGTGACGCGTCCGAAACAGCAAAACACCAGCTAATTTCGTGCCCAAAAGCTATCAAAAACGGCCACCAAAAATGCCTAACGTCCTTTCTGAAACCTTACTAACACAAACAAATTTTCAGTGTTTTTTTCAGCTTTTCCAGCTGCTTGCCACCTCTTGCAGCCAGCCAGCCGGCCAGCCAGCCCCAAAGCACAGGCTGTATGTATGCTTAGCCTCCAAAGCACAGGGTGTCTACTTTTTGTGACGAAACAGCAAAACACCAGCTAATTTCGTGTCCAAAAGCTAGCAGGACGGAGAAGCCACAAAATCACACCAAAAAAGTGACTAACGTCCTTTCTAAAACATCCCAAAAGCACTAAACTGTTGGTTTACTTGCTAGGCTACACGAGAAAATTGCCTAATTCAAAATGTTAGCCCACCAGAAGGGACGGAGAAGCCACAAAATCACACAAAAACTACCTCACGTGTTGTCTCAACAACACCACCACCACCATCACCACCACCACAAAGAAGCAGGTGGAACAAGTAGAAAAAAATCAAAAAAAATCTGGGAAAAGCTGAGCATTTTTGGTAGGGTTTTAGAAAGTACGTTAGGGATTTTTGGTGTCTTAGACACTTTTCCGGTTTATAGGGGTTTCACGAATATGGGAAAGAAAGAGCACGCAAAAGGAGAAATGCAAATACACAACAATGCATTTGTTTACTTCAAAGCTACGCGCTAAAGATAACTAAATATGTCCTCTCCAAGATTTTCAGAGGCAACGTTAAGGTTTCTAGGATCTCAGAAGCAACGTTAGGCACTTTTGCCGTTTATTGTGTGCCATGTCTGCTTTTCGGCGCGTATTGCATATTCGATGGATTTTTTTTCGCGATATCTAGCAACTATATTGAAGTTGTTGGCGTTTTTGGTGTTTTTTGGTGCGGCTTCTAGCTCTTTTAAAGATTTTAAAACACCTACTTATGATTTGGGACCTTACCTATGATATTCTTTTGCGACGCTTCCAAAACAGCAAATCACCACCTACTTTCGTTCCCGAAAGGTGGCAAAATAAGCCACCAAAAATACCTAACATCCTTTCTGAAACCCTACTAAAATAGGCAATTCTCAGCTTTTCCCAGATTCTTTGTCCACCTGTTTCCACCTGCTTGTTCTTGTTGTTGTTGTTGTTGTTGTTGTTGTTGTTGTTGTTATGTTGCGATGCTTCCGAAACAACGAATCACCACCTAATCTAATTTCGTGCCCGAAAGGTGGCAAAATAATTCACCAAAAATGCCTAACGCCCTTGCTGGAACTTTACTAAATTACACCAGCATAGACCCCAAACAGCAACAACGCATGTTTCCACCAAGGTCATGTGCGATTCAAAATTCATGGAACTGTCTGGCACACTCCTGTCTTCTGTTTTACTCCTTCATTACTTCAACCGTGCAAATACGAGGCAACGCCCCGACGCATCCAGGAATCCACACAGAGTGGTGAGTGGAGGTCCTTAATTTTCAGACGAGTCCAAAACTGGTACAAGCTGTTTTCTCTTGAGAACAACAGCGCCAGCACAAGCCCATGGAACAAAACCCTTTTTTCCACCAAGGTCATGTGCGATTCAAAATTCATGGAACTGTCTGGCACACTCCTGTCTTCTGTTTTACTCCTTCATTACTTCAACCGTGCAAATACGAGGCAACGCCCCGACGCATCCAGGAATCCACACAGAGTGGTGAGTGGAGGTCCTTAATTTTCAGACGAGTCCAAAACTGGTACAAGCTGTTTTCTCTTGAGAACAACAGCGCCAGCACAAGCCCATGGAACAAAACCCTTTTCCTGAGAAAAGAAAGAAGAGAGAAGAAGGGAGACAAGCACCGGAACCAAAGAAGAGAGAGTAAGGGAGACAAGCACGGGAACCCCAGCCGGAACGAGAGGAACCAGCAAATCATGATGGAACAAAACCCCTTTCCTGAAGAAAGAAAGTAGAGAGAAGAAGGGAGACACCAGCAAATCATGATGGAACAGAACCTCTTTCCCGAGGAAAGAAAGAAGAGAGAAGAAGGGAGACAAGCACCGGAACCCGAGCCGGAACCAAGAGGAACCAGCAAATCATGATGGAACAGAACCCCTTTCCTGAGGAAAGAAAGCAGAGAGAAGAAGGGAGACATTTTCATAGACCATTTTCACCTTTTCCCAAATTCTTTTTCCACCTGTTTCCACCTGCTTATTCGTGTTCGTGTTGTTATTTTTGTAGTTGCTGTCGTCGTCGTCCTAGTAGTAGTAGTCGTCGTAGTCGTCGTAGTCGTCGTAGTCGTCGTAGTCGTGGTCGTGGTCGTGGTCGTGGTCGTGGTCGTGGTCGTCGTCGTCGTCGTCATAGTAGTAGTAGTAGTAGTAGTAGTAGTAGTAGTAGTAGTCGTCGTCGTAGTCGTAGTCGTCGTCATCATTAGTAGTAGTAGTAGTAGTAGTAGTAGTAGTCGTCGTAGTCGTAGTCGTCGTCATCATCGTTGTCGTCGTCGTCGTCGTCGTAGTAGTAGTAGTAGTAAAAGTAAAAGTGGTAGTCGTAGTAGTAGTCGTCGTCGTCGTCGTTGTAGTACTAGTTGTAGAAAACATTTCTTGGAGGGCTTTTGTCATAAACTCTTCTTCCATACGCTCTCCCCCTTGCGACGCCGGGGTCGGCGGATTTCTTGTGCTTTGCAGTACAGCACCGAGGTCAGGATGCAGGAGACCTGCACAGATCCTTTGGCTGACAGTCCCTGGGTGGAATGGAGCCGGCCTCAGTGAATTTCATTATTTGAATCATTGCATCAGTGCGAAATCAACACGTGAGATAACTTACCCATACTGACACTTCTTCATCCCACTCTGCAACTTGACTGAAAGAATCGTGTTTTTTCCCCACATCTTTGTGTGGGGTTCTTGTTCTTGATTCTGTATCCTGCTCCTCCTCCTCTTCTCCTCCTCCTCCTCCTCCCTCTCCGCCTCCCTGTCACACACACACACAACTTTGTCACCCGCTTCTTTGTCACACACACTATCTTTCACACACAACTTTGTCACACACCATCTTTCACACACAACTTTGTCACACGCCATTTTTCACACACAACTTTGTCACACACACACACTGTGTCACACACCATCTTTCGCACACAGCTTTGTTACACACCTCTTTGTCACACACCATCTTTCACACACAACTTTGTCACACACACACAACTTTGTCACGCACAACTTTGTCACACACCATTTTCACACACAACTTTGTCCCACGCCAGCTTTCACACACAACTTTGTCACACACCATCTTTCACACGCAACTTTGTCACACACTTGGCGACATCGACCTTCCATTTGTGTGGCGCGCGTGGCACTTGGCGACATCTACCGTCGTTTTGCGTGGCAGGTGTGGCACTTCGTTTTGTGTGGCCTGCGTGGCACTTATGGCACTGGGCTGGCTCTGGTGGCGCGCTTGGAGCCCCTTGGTCGCCCGTGACGCCGCGGCAGCCCGGGCGCCGGCGCCATGGCACTTTCCGTGGCAGGCGTAGCACTTGGCGACATCGACCTTCGTGTTGCGTGGCAGGCATGGAGCTGCTCAAATCAACCTTCGTTTTGCGTGGCAGGCGTGGCACTTATGACACTGGATTGGATCTGGTGGCGCGCTTGGGCGCCGTTTGTCGCCCGTGGCGCCGCCGCTCTTTGCGTGGCAGGCGGGGCACTTGGCGACCTCGACCTTGGGTTTTCCGTGGCAGGCGTGGCACTTATGACACTGGATTGGATCTGGTGGCGTGCTTGGGCGCCGTTTGTCGCCCGTGGCGCCCGCGGCACTTTGTGTGGCAGGCGTGGCACTTGGCGACATCGACCTTCGTGTTGCATGGCATGCGTGGCACTTGCTCACATCAACCTTCGTTTTGCGTGGCAGGCGTGGCGCATATGACACTGGGTTGGATCTGGTGGCGCGCTTGGGCGCCGTTAGTCGCCCGTTGTGCTGCGGCACTTTGCGTGGCAGGGGTGGCACTTGGCGACCTCAACCTTCGTCTTGCGTGGCAGGCGTGGCACTTATGACACGGGGTTGGATCTGGTGGCGCGCTTGGGCGCCATTAGTCGCCCCCGTCTTGCCGCGGCACTGTGCGTGGCGGGCGTGGTACTTGGCGACCTCGACCTTCGGTTCTGCGTGGCAGGTGTGGCTCTTGGCGACATCGACCTTCGTTTTGCGTGGCAGGTGTGGCACTTAAAGACATTGGGGTGGATCTGGTGGCGCGCTTGGGCGCCATTAGTCGCCCGTGGCGCCGTGGCACTTTGCCTGGCAGGCGTGGCACTTGGCGACATCGAACTTCGTGTTACGTGGGACAGGCGTGGCGCTTGAAGACGTCGACCTTCGTGGAGCTTGATGACAGAACTGGAGCTTGATGACAGAACTGGCTTTCATCGATGGCCTGTGAAGCCTTGACCCAGCGTGGGAAGAAACATGTGCAGCGGTTGTTGTTTGTGCAAACTGCAGCCATTCTGGCATGTTTGACTGAAATTTGTTGCAAGCCATGTTTAGCGTACTTTTCGGCATGTTTTACAGAAACTTTGTGCAAGCCATTCTGGCATGTTTCACAGAAGCTCGGTGACAGAACTGTTGTGCAAGCCAGTCTGGGATGTTTGACTGAAACTTGGTGCAAGCAATGTTTAACGTACTTTTCGGCATGTTTGACAGAAACCCTGTGCAAGCCATTCTGGCATGTTTGACTGAAACTTGGTGCAAGCCATTTAACGTACTTTCTTGCGACAGAATGCGGTAAGCTTGGTGATAGTGACTACACAGTTGAACAGTGTCATTTTCGTGGCTCACGGTCAACGCTGAAGTGGAAAGCGTCCATGACGGATCGGAAACACACGATTGATACTTCATCACTGTGGTATCTATATCTGGTCGCTTTGGTCCAACGTACAGTGTTTAGTTGTACGTCACTCACTGTGCAGGTGTTCCCGTACCGCGCAGACCGACGTATTGTCGGCCGTCACATTGTTGGCCGGGGGTGTGGGATGACGCGGTCTTGTGTGCTTGGGGCCAACGCTCGGTTTCCAACCGAGTATGACGGCAATGGCAATGGGCTAATGCGCCTTGCCGGGCACATGCCGATGGTCGGGACTCGTGAAGAAATCTGCAACACGCCAAGACAACGCCCAGTGGGAGGCCCTCAAATCACACGACCTGCTGCATTCGCATGTGCCTCGTGTGTCAATTCTGGTTCGTCTCATGTGTTACTGTGTGCTCCTGTACCAAGCAGGCCGACCTGATGTCGTCTGTCACCTCGTTGGCCGGGGGTGAAAGAAGACGCGAGCACAGAGCAATGTGCCATGTGTTCCGGCTGCGTCAAGTGGGATACTAGTTGCCGCCAAACTGCATGCTCGCTTTCACTTTGGCCGCGTCGGCTTTGAAATAGCTGTTGCTTTCTTGTTTGTCTCTGTCTATTCCTCAATTGTGTGCGGCTGGTTCTTAGCCAAAGTGCAGCATGGTGCTCTCCAATCTTGGTTGTGGCAGTGGTAGCTTTGACCTTGCACCGTTTAGTTGTACGTCACTGTGCATGTGTTCCTGTACCATGCAGACCGACGCGATGTCGTCTGTCACCTCGTTGGCCAGGGGTGCGGGATGACGTGAGTACAAAGCAATGTGCAATGTGCTCAGGCTGCGTCAAGTGGGAGGCTAGTTGTCACCAAACTGCATGCTCGCTTTCACTTTGGTCGCGTTGGCTTTGAAACTTGGTCACACACACAACTTTCACACACACACACAACTTGGTCACACACACAATCATTTACACATAATTTTATTACACACATCTTTCAAACACACAACTTTATCACACACAACTTTTTTAACTTATCGATGCTCCACCACCTCCTTTGTCTTTCCTTCCTTCCCCGTCCCGCTTCAACTTTTGTTTCTGTTTATTGGAAGAAGTTGACTTGTGGGGTTATCCGGTCCTTTAACTGATCTGTTCCAGCGATGTAAATTGGCCAAGGCCAGACTATATTCAAACTTGGCCAGAACCTGCGCAAGTTCCAGCAAACTTCACCTTTGTGGAGCTCACTGCATACAATGCGTGCGGGCCTTTGGGGCCTTTGATTTTGTCTCATCATGTCTCATCGTGTCACATCATTCGTCATCCGTTCTTCATCCATTCTTCCAATGGTAGCAATTCAACGAAGCTGAAGCAGCTGCAATTTCTCCCTTCGGCAATTCCACATCTGTGTGGGCTGATTTGTTGATTGGATTTTGATTCCTAAGCACAACAAGAAGTAGGTTGTTCAGGGCTAGTGCTGCATTACTGGTTTATCCAATTTTCAACTTGTATATGTGGCCCAGTTTAGCAACCCCCTCACCCCCCATGTCATGGTCATGGCCCTGTATGTACTTTGTATGTGCGCTGTATGTAGGAGGCTCTATGTAAGATATAGTTTAAACACCCCACCCCCTCTGTGGGATGGGAGGGGGCTAGGTAGTATGTCACTAGCACGTAAGGCAAAAATTACGTGGTTACAATGCTCCACGCCCCCCGAGCGGGATTTATAGAGGTACCATGTAGATAGTGTATAAGTAGCATATGCATAGCATATGAGATCTCGGCAGTAGCTAGTATATGCCTACTATAAAGGTACTTTATTGGCAGTAACACGTTGTAAATAGAGTCATAGAGTGATGCCGGGTGTAGCTTACCCCCATGCCCCCCCTGTGGGATGGGTGGGGTGTTTTAGAGGTATCATGTAGACTTTATGGGCAGTAATACGTTGTAAATAGAGAACACCGCGCGGAGGTTAGCATATGAGATCTTGACGCATATAGATGGGTGGGCGTGCTTGCGCCATCGGAATTTCTGCAGCTGTGCCTTGTGGAACTCAGATCGAGTCGTGACAGACTTTGCGCACCGTGTGCGAGAGTTGGAGGAAAAGGAGTTTTGGCCTGCTGCCGTGCAGCATCGTGGTTGGTGGAGGAAAGCTCAGGGAGCTTGGAGGGCCGCTACCAGCTACCAGTTTCATACTGGTAGCAGAGCCCAGTCGACATGTCAGGGCCTGTAGGTGGTGAGGCTGAAGGGGGCAATATCCCCAATCAACTGGCATCTTGGTGCCAACCTTCGACCTGGGCATTGACAACGTAGAGATCTGGACCAACAAGGTTGAGCTGCTGTTGACGGCTTGGCCATGCAATCGGGTTCAAGAACTCGCCACAAGATTGGTTCTAGGATGCAAGGGAACCGAATTTCAGAAGCTGCAGTTACATCGATCGGAAATGATCATCAATGACCCAAAGGGGATTCAACGCATTGTGGAACTGGTTGGAGGTAAGTGGGGTGCTGTCCCGCTTGAGAAGAAATTCGAATTAGTGGAGAAAGCCTTGTATCGTGGCCAACAGCGAGCTGATGAGACGAGTGACTCTTACTTGTCAAGGTGTGATGTCATTTGGATAGAGCTGATCAGCAAGAAGATTGACCTGAAGGAGATCCAAGCCTACATCCTACTCCGGGGCAGTCGCCTTGGGAGTGATGACAAGAAGAGAGTCATTGTGGACTCTGGAGCCGAAAAGGGCGGCGAGTTCGAGGTGGCCAAGGTTGAGGCGGCAGTGTGCATGATTGGATCAGGGTTCTTCCAGGATATGGTGGGAGCAAAACGGGACAAACGTCTCAAAACCTATGACCGGCTTTCAGTCTTGAAGAACGAGGTGAACACTATGAGGGCGAGCCTGAAACCTTGTGGACTCAAGAGGAACATCTCGATGACAGCACTCTCGAGACATGGCAGCCGAAGACGATGAGGATGCCGACTTGGTGTTGCAGTTTGTAGATGCTGTGGCAGAGACCGGTCAGAATGATCCAGAGCTCAGCGGTTTCTACACTTCGTATCAGGAGGCGCGAAAGCGCCTCTCAGAAAAGGCGCGATTCTGTGAAACGTGGTGAGAAGGGAATTGGAAAGAAAGGCAAGGGTGAGGGCGAAGGAAAAGGATCCCCTGCCAATCGAATTGCAAATTCGTATTGTAGGACCGTAGGATCTGTCTGAAGAAGGGTCATTGGAAGAACGAGTGTCAGTCACGAAGTTCATCATCTGTGGCCGCACCATCAACTGCTCCTACTTCGTTTGTGACTGCATCCGAAGTTCCGGAAGAGATGTTTCATCTTACCACCACTGATGAGAGATCGGAGTCGAAAAGTCATGAATGATGTTTTGCAGTTCAGTTGAATGTTGGTACGACAATGGGTAAGCGGGGTATCTGTAAGCCTAGCCTCAGTTGTCACCGGAGCCAGCAGCCTTCTAAGACCTCTGCATCCGACAGTGACACAGCCGATCGTGTCCTTCAGTTGCATCAGCTGAAGCTTCGCCGTAGTGAGCCCCGAAGCACTGAGGAAGATTCAGAATCTGATCGCATCAGTCTGTTTGCATCTGCAGGTTCCGTGGGAATTGTTGATTTGGGCGCCTCTCAAACTGTCATAGGTAGTCGTCAGGTCCCTGAATTTTTGAGCCAAATGCCTGAATGGGTGCGCAGAAGTGTGAAACGTCAGCCGCGTAATCTGATATTCCGTTTTGGAAGCCAGCAAACGTTCGTGAGCAAGCATGCTCTCATGGTGCCACTGGGTGATGATTTTTTCCGGATAGTCGTGATTGAGGGAAGCACGCCATTTCTGATTTCCAGTGCGTTTGAAAGGGATTCAGGCCGTGATCGACACTGATCAAGAAACAAGGTGGAGCAAACGCCTCAACAGGGCCATTCCAGTTGAACGGACTCAGAAAAAATGTTTCTTATGGACCTGAATCAGTTGTGGCAGTCCGAAGAATCAGCACAGATCACCTGGCACGAGAGGACCAGTCATCCATCACCGGTGGTGCCAAAATCAGCACTCAAGCTGTATGTAGATGAGGGTTGTAAAGAGCAGGAAAGTGCAAGGCAGGTCTCAGGTCCACCCACCAAAGGTAGTCATCAAGATGCCATGAAATGTCCAGAGCCAACTGTGTCAGCGCGTGATGTACATAGCCAGAGCAGTGGTCCAAGTTCGAGCCGTAGTGATTCGTTGTCCTCAGCTGCCGAGTTGTCTCAACATGTCACTCTCCCAGCGCCTGACTCAACTTCGTGTCAAGTCCGAGGACAGCCAAGCCCAGGACCGACTGTCCACAGTTCAAGAAGTTGACTCTCAAGGAACTGGAAGCCGAGAAGATTGCCTTCGGGAAGGCCAAGCTGGGAGTTCCGTTCTCCGAGGCCTTTGCGGACTACAAGTGGGCCGAGTGGTTCATCGGCCAATACGAGAAGAGCACCAAGGAGGCACATCAGAAGTATGTCATGTATGTCGAAAAGAAGCTCGACCAGGAGATCAAAGAGGAGAAAGACAAGAAGAACTCCAAGACCCAGGAGCCAATCACAGGCTCAGAAGTGTCATGGAACCATGTCAAGACCGAGGTGGACGAAGACAGCGAGGAGGAGTGGGGCCCCATGCCCAAGATGATGGGAGTCAGCACCAGTGGCTATCCTGCAGGATCAAGTGAATCACATGTTCCACGAGAACCAGAACCTCAGCCACCGCATGCACAACATGGAGGGCACCATGAACGAGATCTTGGCCCACCTCAAGAATCTGAGCCTTCCGAGTCAGTATAGGCACACTGCATGGTGTTCACGTGGATAAGTGGGATTTTGATTTTTTCCACCGCAAGATGTTCAGACTGCTTCTTTCCAAAAGCAAGTGAATCGCCTAGTGAAGTTTGAGAAAGACCTTTCACAGATTCCACTGCCACATATGCATCAGGCTCGGTTAGACCTGCTGGATGTTATGTGCCATGATCAAAGTGAGCTCACAAACCAAGTCATCAAACAAAAGGGGAAAGCTTGTCGTTTTGGACTAGCTCAAGGGGATCTCAGTACTCAGCACGGACAACAGAAATTGTTCACCCAAATGGTATGCTTGCGACCCAAGAACTTATAGTACAGTCGAGGGTGTTTTCCCTGGTGTTTATGGAATCAATACAATGAGAGCAAAAGCCCTGAACTTTGGGAAAAGATCTTTTTGAAGAGACAACAGATTTTGTGGCAAATCAGCCTGGGAATTGTTCTGTACAGGTTCCAAGTCGCCAACCAGAGCCATTTTCACCATGAGAAACCATCCGGATCCCGCATGAAGAAGATTCCTGGAATGCAAGAAATTGTCAATAACACGCTTTGCAGCCGTTTTGACATGTGTCAGGTAGGAAGTCTTACTGAGCCCAAGCTGGTGAACCACTCCGCAAAAGACTTGAAGTGCACACGACTTCAGAAGATCCGCAGTGCAGACTGCACGCGATCGCCTGTGTCCTGGTACACATCTGCGTCGGCCGATTGGAAGACAGACCGTTGTTTCGAACCCTCTTTCCAAATATACGGAACAGTATCCTGTCAAGTTTGCAAGACAGGTTGCCAGAGTGTTATTGCATGTTCAAGGGTTTTCTGCATTTGTGACCGAGCCCAACCACAGCGAGCATCCCACCGAGAAACGACATCTATCCCAGAAGATGGAGTCAGAGTCCATCGCGCGGCGATTTTCTGGTATCAATTGGCAGATAGTGATGGCCCTTGCCGATCGTTTGGCTCCAAGGGTAGGCACTAGGCTTGTAGATTCTGGTCAGCTGTTGCAGGATGTTCAAGACATGTGTCCCTATCACCAGGTGCGCCATTTGGTCGCATGTCGTGGAACTGATTGATACGTAGGACCAAATAAAACAATGTTCCCGGGAGAAGCGCCACTCCGACGCATGGCATGCATCCGTACGAAAATTGAAGATGTCCAAGTAGATTCAGATTGGGAACCCTGGGAGAAACTGACCCAAAAGGGACTTCGAAGAAAGTCCATGCCTGCAAGGGTGAGCCTCACGATCTTAGCGCAAGCCAAACCACTGCCAGGGTCACCATCTGCCGATGCCACAATCCCCGCAGTGCCAGACAGAGGCGCCAGAATTGCAAGAACCAGCCAGTAAGAGGGTCCGAATGACCAATGCGCCCATGCTGCCAGAGAGCCAGTCTTCATCATCCACAGTCAATCCCCAAACTTCAAATATTCATGAACATAATCCACCCAATAATCTACCAAGTAATCCACCTGAAGAGAATGAACATAATCCTCCCCAACAGAAGATCCCTAACAGTGGAGAAGACTCCCATCCACACATGAAACGACACCTGATGCCAGCAGTGTGGACCGTCATGCCATTGACCTGGTGCCCCACAAACATGGGCCAAAGTTTCTGAAGCTGAAAGCGGATGAGCAATCATGGTTGATCAAAATACACCGAAATCTGGGTCACCCTGGAACCCACGAACTAGTTGAGTTCTGCTGGCAGTTGCGTTGCCCAGAAAGTTTCCTCCACGCAATACCAGACATGCACTGTTCCACGTGCCAGGAGACCCAACAGGCAAAGGTAGCAAGACCAGCGGCCATTCATGAACCAATGGACTTTGGAGAGGTGGGGGACCAGTTTCATTTCTACCACTTTATTGATCAGGCCACACTATACCATACGGCTGTATGATCGGTTTCCAGGCCAGCCACTAGTGCCACCCAGGCACTCTTGCAAGGATGGCTTCAATGGGCCGGCGCTCCTAGCTTGATTGTTTTTGATGCGGCAACAGAATTCTGCTCAGAGGAATTTGAACAATTCCTTCAAAAGTTTGAAAATTGAAGCCGAACCTGTGCCACCGATGCCCACTGGCAAAGTTCTAGGGTAGAGAGACATGGGCATGGGGGAATCCTGCAAATGATGTTGTCAAAAATGGATCACGAGGAGAGCGTCAATTCCTATGCGCAGTTGGCCCAAGCACTTGCCCAAGCCACAGCAACTAAGAATCGATGGAGTAGGCATAGGGGATATCCTCCTGAGATTCTTATGTTTAGAAAAGGCACTCGAAATCCTGCATCCGTAATGAATGATGAAGAACGAGCTGCCCATGAGATGGCACTCAGACCTCATGCCGAGGGTTTGCGATTTCGTGCTGAACTTGAATGCCGCGAAAGGGCTAGAAGAGCCTTTGCTGCTGTAGATAACGATCAAACTTTGTGCAGAGCCTTGAACAGCCATAGTCGACCAACCTGTGGTCAGTACTCCGCACCAGAATGGGTGATGCTTTGGAAGCGAAGGGGGGAGGCAACAGATCCATGGGAAGGTCCCATGCAAGTCATCGTTCAGGAAAGTGACAAGGTGATTTGGGTCACCTTTAGCTATAGAGCAGCACCTGAGCATGTCAGACCGTTGTCAGCAGTTGAAGAATGGTCCCAACAGATGCAATCAACCAGTAACAGCATGCCCACCCAAGTAATCCCTCAACATGGAGGTGTTCAATACCATAATGTCACACCAATGACAGTTCCAGATGCAATTCCACCTAGCAATCAACTCCCAATCAACCCCGAAAGACCTTCAGCAATAGAATCCAGCGAAATCAATAGTGATCCCGATGAGAGGTTGGTATCCACTCAACCTGCTGACAGCCCAATAGGGCATCACCCTGAACCACCGGAGTGGTTTTAGCCCGCCAAGAGCCGAAACCATAGCTGCACCAATCAACACGCTGGTGCCACCAGAAGATGTCGAGGGTTTGCTGGTTGACAGTTCCCACTGGTTTGAAGATTTAAATTAATGTTTTCATTGAAGTGATGAACAAGTGTGGCGGTTTGAGGTTGGTATCAATCAGCAAGACATCAACAAATGGCGTCATGAAGAGGATCCTCATGAAAGGACCTTTCTAGTTTCAGCAGCCAAGAAACAGAGAAGCGAAGTGAAAATGTCCCAGCTTGATGAACAAGAAAGAAAGATGTTCCAACAAGCCAAAATGAAAGAAATTAAAAGCTGGCTAGCAACAGAAACAGTAGCGAAGATCCTGAGACACCAAATTCCCGAAGAAAACATTCTTCGCTGCCGCTGGATCTTGACGTGGAAACGTGTTGATCAACCAGAGCCTAATGGAACCAAAAATGTCCCAAAGGCATGACTTGTTGTATTGAGAAATGAAGACCCTCTTGTCCATGAAATCCCTCATGATAGTCCAACAATGTCACGCATGTTGATCCTCCAATGGGCCACTTCAATGGGGATGGGACATTGAGTCCTTTGATATCAAGACGGCCTGAGAACAAGGAGATCGCATCCTTGGCATCGAACGGACAGCGGAGCTTCGAGAAAAGCTTTGCTTGAAACCATCCGAAATTTTGCAGTTACTCAAGGGCGCATATGGCCGAGTAGATGCACCATATTTGTCGTTTATGGAACTCAAGCGAGGCCTGGAAGCTCTCGATTTCGTGCCAAGTCCTTTCGACCCATGCACTTTTGTGCTGCCGGACCCCTCCACCGGAGCCACCGAAGGCATCAGAGGGATTCATGTTGACGATGGCAAACTCTTTCAGCAGAAGCTCCAACAACTCTCAGAGAAGTTTCCCTTTGGATCTCAGCAAAAAAGTATCTTCACTTTTACAGGCCTTCGCATTGACCAACAACCTGACCAATCCATATGGATCAACCAGACACAATACATCAACAACATTCACCCAATTTCCATTCCAAGAGACCGAAGAATGAAACCTGATGACCCTGTATCTGAAGATGAACGACAGAGCTTGAGAGCAGTCATTGGGTCGCTTCAGCATGCTGCCGTCAACAGCCGTCCTGGCATGTGTAGCCGCCTTGATGGCTTCAACCTAGGATCAATCGAGCCCAGGTGTCCACATTGGTGGAAGCGAACAAGACGTTGCATGAAGCCAAGCATCATGCGGATGTTACAATAAAAATGCAGCCGATTCCAGTGCAAGAGCTCAGGTTTGTGGCTTGCTCAGACGCATCATTTTCATCAAACAAACAACCAGGCTCTCATCAGGAAATGATGATCGTGGCTTGTCATGAACCAATATGTATCAATAGGACCGGTCCTGTTAATCCTTCGGTGTGGCATTCGGAAAAGATTCAGAAAGTCGCCGTGAGCACAGTGTCGGCTGAGGCGATGTCTTTCGCCGGAGCGGTAGACATGCTGTCATGGGTACGCTTGTACTGGGGATGGCTTATGAATGTAAACATCCCATGAAAGAAAACTGGTCAGACTTTCCTGCAGTTGCCACCTGCATTCGCTGCCATACCACCCATGAATGATGATCAAGATTCCACCCCACCAGATGTCACTCAAAATCTGCTTCAACAATTACCCAAGTCCAACAGTGCCATTATAACCACAGACTGTAAATCCCTTTACGATCTCATCAGCCGGGCAGCTCCCCCAAGTTGCTCTTCTAAATTCATGCCTTCTGGAGCGCAGGTAGCCGACTCACGCACCAAAGCCATGGATCATACGATGTTAAGGGAATGCCTCCGTTTGGGAAAATACTGTTGCACGATGAAAGCCAAATTCTGAAAGCCCGTTCTGATTCCCGCACTAGACGGCAGTGGTTAAGACAGAATGCAGAAGCATACAGGGAACGATGACTTCAGAGAAAAGCCAAGTCGTCTCTGGAGATATATCTTGGGAGTTATGTTTCTTCGGACCACTGGCGGTACATTGCGAATTTTAAGATTCTCTGGGTATGTGAAACCAGTGCCAATTCACAATGAACATTGCGCTCACCTTCCATCATTTCGTTTGCAGCCGGGGCTCAGGGAGCATGTAGGTGGGTGGGCGTGCTTGCGCCATCGGAATTTCCACAGCGGTGCCTCGTGGAATTCAGATTGAGTCAGGCAGACTTTGAGCGCCGTGTGCAACAGTTGGAGGAAAAGGGGTTTCAGCTTGCTGCCTTGCAGCATTGTGATTGGTGGAGGAAAGCTCAGCGAGCTTGGAGGGCCGCTACCAGTTTCATAATATATATATATTAGATATATGTGTATATATATATATATACACACGTTTATTTAATTAATTGACTAATTTAATTAGTTTATTTATTCTTCCTAGTTCCCACGTACCCGTCAATGTAACCCTGATGCTGTCTCCGCCTGCATTTATGTTGAATGTCCTTTCGATCTATTTTGTACCTCTTTGTGTTTAGCGGTCATCCATGTTTTTCCCCTCCATTTCCCCCCTTTGTTCGACCTTTTTTTGTTTAATTTCAGCATCCATCTAGCCCATCCATCTTGTCGATTGTTTCGGTGATCTTTTTCATCGCAGGGTAGGAAAAAAGGTTCAGAAATCCAGACCGAACAAATCTAAAGAACTGGAAACACATCTATCCATCTTGCTCGTTGCTTCAAGATGCCTCTGACCAGCTTTTGTTTAACCTGATGTAGCAAAAGTTTTATCCAAGGACTTTCACCTTTGAACCGGGGCTTGGTCTGGACTGCACTTGGTCATCCTGGCAGGCAGGGTGTTCAAAGAAAGACAAAGACAATTGCTGTTGTCCCTTGCTGGATTTATAACCAGAGACTCTTCGTGGAGCTGATATGGTGGTGCTCGGTGATGCAGGCACAGATGCTCCAAGACATCGGGAATCCGTGGAATCCTCAATGGTACAGAGCGTATGCCCTACATTGATCTATGCCATGCAGAATCGTTTGCGTCATGCATATGTGGCTACGTGTGTGGATGGCATGAGTGACGACACAGAAGTTGAATTTCGGCGGAGTGAATCGCTCCTCGTGGCTCAAGTAGAATAGACAAGCACCCTGCTCTGCACAAAGTCCCAAAGTCCACCCGCCATGGCAATTGCTCCCAGTTCAGCAGTAACTTTGACCGGTGCTGAGCAGGCAGTCCGCGCAGGCATTGCTGCTGCTCAGAAGTCAGGCACGGATGCTTGGAAGATCTTGGACGGTAATAGCGTGGCTGCCTTGAGAAACACAACAATCTTCACTGGCTATTCACGCATCCTGTTTGGTGGACCTTTGCAAAGACTTCAGACATTGAAACACCACACTTGAAACATATTGAAACAACACCTCATGAATCCTAATGATTTAATGCAATTTTGTATATTTTTGTTGCTTTGCTTGCCACCTCGAAGGCTGGAAGGTCACCGTTGCGATTTGTGATGCTGGTGGCAACTTGATTGCCTTGCAGCGCATGGCCCTTTGGCAAAAACTGCAAAATTTGAGCTTGGTTTTCCTCTAGGGAAAGTGGCAAAAGTGATGGCTTTCTGTAATCGTAAATTTGAACCCTCAAGGATGGGTGCATGCCAATTGGCGCCGAGATTGCCACTGAAAAGGCTCGCTCGGCTATCCTCTTTTCGCGGGAGACTCGTTTGCAGGGTGAAGTCTTGCGTTTTTTTTGTGTCGCATTTCTCCTTGCTCATCCCATTGCCTGTTTTCTCGTGCTTGCTATGGGTGTGGATGGTGCAGGCTTGGTTCCACCAGCCTTGACTGCAAGATTCTGCTAAGGAAACGAAGCTCTTGGAAGCTGCCGTGAACGGAGAGAAGTCCAATGGTGGCGAACGCGCGGCGTTGCTGACCTCTGGACGAGTCTTGATGGAGGGTGGAGTGCCGATCATCGATCCTGCTCACGGCAAAATCATTGGTGCCTGCGGTGTGTCTGGCGTGAAGCCACAAGAGGATGCAGAAGTTGCCAAAGCGGCGGTGAACAGCCTCTTTCCACAAGCCAAATTGTGAGCGAGGCGATGAGGCGCTGAGACGTTGAACTCGCCAACTTGTGACACTTTGGTTTTCAGCACAGTGAAGTGCAGGGCTTGTGTACATAGGCTTTTAATGCCGCCAGCACTCTTGATCTTGTGCTTGCTTGGAGTTTTCCCAGTAGTTAAGCTTCAACCACCAAACCTTGTAAGCCGGAGAATAAACCAGTGCGGTTTGATTGGCTGACTTCTGTCCTCCACAATCGGAAGTGAGATGATTGACATGTTGTGACATTTCTCATGCCTCTCATGACATGTTTCAGATTGGTTTAGCGCATTTTTGCATTGATTCTGCTAGAAGCATCTAGAAGCCACATATGAGCACGATGCATTTTGGAGATGCAAGGTTGTCGGAGTGGGCAGATCTCACGGAGTGTGAGAGTCAGCTACAGTTCCGTGAGAATGTCTTTCCGGCCTATTGATGTGTCATTTGAGTCATTTGAGATGTGGTTCGGCGAGGGTGGACGTGTCAGGTCACGTGCAGCGTCACAGGGCTTCAAAGCTTCACTGAATATCAGGCCATGCACTTGAATATACTTGAACAAGCTTCAAATGCTGAGCTGAATGTTGCACGATTTGCCAAGTCCTATGGCCACATCGCACCAGACATGCATGAAGATCAGCGCAGTCTGGGTGGAAGTTTCAAGCAAGTTCCCTTAGCATGGACTCAAAATTGGCTGCTTGAGCTGCTTGAGCTGGTCTCAGGTTCGAGTCAGGGAACGATGTACGAACTACATCTACGACAGCGACTGGGGCTACTCTGACAGATTCTTCACCCGCATGCCCATCCAAGCGGGTTTGCCAGAGGTTGCAGCCTTAAAAGATCCATGAAATCGTAGAGACATCTAGAAACTTGAGACATCTTGAGACTCACTTGCGCTGCCTGTGCTGGGAAATCTTGTGAACCGTTGCAACGCGGTAAGACGTAGAAACTCAGCTATGTCTAAAGAAGCTTAGTGGCTTGGTACATTTGATAGTGAAGAAACAACTTTGTCAAACATTCTATGTCAGTCAGGGATATACTTTGTACACGCACTTGGACGAGGACTTGAAGCTGGTCCAAGACTCTGTCACTGCGTTCTTCTTTGACGTCTCTTGGACAGTTCGGGACTTAAGCTTTCGAGGGATGCAGCCACAGAAGACTGAGCAACATGAGCAACAATAAGCACGACTCAGCAAATCATGCTTGATCTGAGATGATTTTTGTTTGAGGGGGGAGCTCCTGGGCAATGCATTTTCAAAGAGTGGGTTTGGGCCCAAGATCTCCTTGCACAATGCACAATCATCGTCACTCTTGTTTGCTTTGCCGTCTTCGCAACTTCTTGGTGTCTTTGCGTCGCAGTTTCCTGCCTCCATCCCAGCTTGTTTTTTGAAGTTTTCAGTATTTTTGCTTCTTTTTTGGCTTCTTTTTTGGCTTCTTACATTCTTGAGGTCATGGAAGTCTTCCAGATCTCACCTGAACCGGATTCCTGGGCAATACCTCCACTCGTTGAGTACTTGGACGCGCCTCAGACGTGGGCTCTTTGGCAGCATTGTCGACAGTACAACTGCTCTTTGTGGGATGTACGATACAGGCATGTCCAGTCTGCGTGGCATGGGCTCTAGCTGCTCTAGCTGAATTCAAACAGCTTCAATGCGTTTTGGTCAAGGTACGTCATAAGTGCGTTGCCGGCAGAGACACTCCAAACTGTCGACCGGGCGATTTGCCCAGATCGTCCATGGCCCCAGTTTTCAGAGATTATTTTTTCCTTTCTCTATCTTTTTTTTCCCAAGGTTAAAGCAAAATTCCACATACGCCGTGCGAGTGAAGGCAGCGATAGAATCACACCGGTTTTTTGTTTGGGAATGCACATTTTTCACATCTGTTGGGAGGAAAGCTGCACGGACCCAAATGCTGATGGTGACTTCACCATGCTGGACATGAATGCACGGCTCTCATCTTTCGAAATGCTTGCAAACTGAGATCCGAGAGCAAGACATTCCTTTATTGATCTCTCATGCATATTTGCCTAAACCGATTTGTATAATTTTGTATCTCTCAAAAAATGCTGCAGTGCTGCAGTCTCGATTGATTCATGTAATCATGCACTTACATGCTTGACAATTGCCAACGACTCAGCCTAACCGAGGTGACAACAATCATCGCGCTGGTGCCAGCTGAGCCGCCTGAGAATCTCACTGTCAGTAACGAGACGGTCTGCACCTGAACTTCGAGCCTAGAACCACTGCAACCCGCTGGGCTCTTCGCCGAATCTTCGCCCACTTCTAACTCCTACCGATTCTACCCCCCAGCTCTTCGGTCACATCTCAGGCCTACACCTTCTTGCTGGAGTTTGACGCTGGTGCACCGAATGTGTCTAACCCAGTCTCCAGCTTGTTTGACCTTTGTATTTTGCACCAGCGGCCAACCAAATGTCCGGAAAGCCTTTGAATGCCTTTGATTTCATCAGGACTGCTACTTTACAGGCTGGGGTGTCGAGGCCAGGATCTGAGCACTTTTGGCACTCACTGGTTGCACAACGTGAAAGGGTGCAAAGTGGCAAAGTTTAACAAAATTTACATTGTTGAGGTACGGGAGAACTGGACTTCTGACGCAAACTTCAGTAATGAGACCAACTACACTGATTCTGGGATGGCATTCAGTGCCGGGTGCGCCGGGTGCGCTTGTCGAGAGCTGGCGAGCAGACAGTTTCTGCTCGTGCAACTGAGTGCAACCGAACCTCAATTTTTGCATATTTTGTCGGATTGTTTTTGCACCAGATTTTAATTCTCGGTAAGAGACCTTTATCTTGAGAGGCTCCGCAACGCCACACTGTGTAAGGAGCTCAATTACTCACTGTGGGTTCCACGAGAAGAGTGCAAAGAAGAGGAGCTGCATTGGTTGTGATATGCCTCGTGAGTTTTGGCCGCAATGTCTGTTACTTCCAAGTCTTGTACTTCTAAGTATTTCTACAAGTCTTCATTTGTGTGCCAACAGGAGGTTTTCCCGAGGAATCGGATGCGCTGGGGCCCCACTTAAAAAGTAAAAGCTGCTGCTTTCAGCAACAGAATGCGGCCAATATTAGATATTTTGCTCGTGACCGTGCCTTCTGTTGCCAGCTCTAGATGCTGAGGTTGCGTGGTTCCCCGTTTGCGGAAACATTCCCTGTATGATGCGAAGGCAGGTGATTTTCAGGGCCTCTGGCGGTGGAGTTGGACCCGTCTTTCACCTGCAGATTTCTTCACCATGTCCTAAAGTGAAAGCAAAAAGGGAAGCTGGCCTTCAAACAAAGCTCTAACTGTTACTAGTCGACACAGCTACAGTATCGAATGGGCAGGGTACTTGATGCTACAAATCATTGAGCCAGACGAGCCAGTTGATTGAGTCGCAGGTGCAGGAGACTTGCTATGTGGGCTACACCTTTGCCCTCGACAGTGACTTTAGCGAAGACCTCCCCAACCGCCAGGCGAGGTTAACCTGTCCAAGGCTGTGTGGATTCAGTGGCCACAGCTGTCACACTGGTGACATGGCCTGCAACTGTTGTGTAAGGCATTGTTTAACTGTGGGACACGAACATGTAGAATCAATGTAGAGTTGTAGAATCTGATTTCACAGAGAAGTATTTGAGAAGCACGCAAGAAGTATTGTAGAATTGCAAGTGTTTTTTTGCTCTTCAACCACCCAAACCAATAAACTCAGACCTGACAGATCATTTCCCCCGGTGTTTCATTGACTGGGCCGGAGCTCAAACTCCAACTGATAGCAAGCTGCTTGTTGCTTTCCTTATCTTTTTTGGACCAAGCATCGTCGAGATATTTTTCTTCAGAATCAGGCACCTAATGTCTGCGAAACCCAGAATAGAAGGACGTTTGGACAAACTAGGAAGCAGGAGAGACACACACTGACACTGTTGAGAGAGCTAGAGTGCTCAGACATTCCCGTGGAAGCTAGCAAGACAGCAGTGATAAGACGTCTTTTGCTCTTTGCAAGCTCTTGATTTGCCAAGTTGCACGTAAATCGTCATTCGCTTTGCGATGTGCGTGAAGAGGGGACATTGTTTTCCATCCAGACTCAATGTCACCTTCACTTGCTGTCCGTGTGTGTGGCTGCCTCTGTTTCTTCTGCTTCAGAGAGTCAGGAGCATTCAAGGACTGAACTTGAGTTGTGTTGTACCCAGCTGCCTGTCACGTCAGGGCACCAGGTAGTGGTCCTGAGTTCCTCCTTATATAATGGTTTTTCTTTTCCACACTCTTAAAAAATGTTGGCCAACGCTGGGCTTTTTTTTGAGCTTTGGCCTTTTTCAGTTTGTTTGGACATGTCATGTGCTGTAGGAGGTCCTGAAGCCCACAAGCATTTTTGTTGGCCAAACTCTGAGTCTTTGACTCCGGCCCGTTGTTGTGCCAATCCGCCTGGTGACCCAAGTGACCCAAATTGCTGGTACGATGGCCTCACATTTGATCTTTGCTGCACAAGGTGGCTGCAGCCTCGCATGCCTTCTTTTCCCGTAGATATTGACAAGATGAAAACCAATCTTGACATTTGCATGAGACAGCCTGCTTTGATGAAGCCAGAAGGTCCTTGCAGCAAATCGGCCTATTTTGCAGGTGAGGGTGCCCCGATTGGCAGACTTCTGTTCTGCGCTGTACAGGTTGGACGTGTCGAACGAGTTCTTGACGTCTTTCTGGGATCTGGATGCAGTGGCGCCACAGCTCTTGCTGCAATGACTGAAAGGGATGCTGGAGCAACTGAGGGTTTGGGGGACAGCTATGTTTCGTCCGAGTCCTCTGACTCGTTCGAAGTTGGATTTGGACTTGACTCGGTTCTTGAGTCGACTATGTCGACGAAGTCGACGGAGTTGTCTGTTCTGGTTGGCTTTGAGGATTTGGATTTCGCTCGAGCGCGTGCGGCTCGGAGGGCTCTGAAAGCCTGGCAGCCTCGTCGTGTGAAGGCCTCAACAACCACGTTGTACGCTGTGGCCTCGCGGCTTCGTCAGGACCTTCAGGGCCTTCAGGGCCGGCAGAAAGCGTGGATTTTGTCTGCCCAATTCCGGTCCAATGCAACGGGATGTCAAAAATGCACCACGGTATGGACTGTTGACTGCCCGGAGAAGTGCACCTATCAATATGGTGCAATTGAAGCTGTTTGTGAAGGGTTGAAAGGGATTGACTTGGTCTTCTGGGATTCAGATGGTTCTGCTGCTGATGGTTGGCTCCTGGAATGGCTATCAATCGAACGTGCTTGTGCTCCTCGCTTCGTGCTTTTGTTGAACCTGTCTTTGCCCAATCACGGAGCTTGGATTCGAGAGCGACTACGAGCTTCAGGATATCAAGAAGTCTGGTGGGATGCCAAGATTCTGCATCCAGGCAAGTCATGGATTGTGCTGGTCATTGTCTAGTTAGTTCTTACCACTGAGCCAGTTTTGTTTAAGGGTAGGATGCTGTAGACTGTAGACTCTGATTTTTCTTTTCTTTGTGTTTTGCAGCCCTTTGCATCAGATCCGTACTTGACCATGACCCTCTCTGATGTACGTCGCGTTCGAAGTTGGGTACTATTGGCCTATTCACCTATTCACCCTCAATCTTGAGACAATAGTGTCTCTTCTGCGTCTGAGATTGCCATATTGTGAGGCATTGTTTGCACTGCCATACAGTGCCTTGAGAGCCTGTGTCATTTTCCTTCTTCACACAGTGCTTGAGAAAGATTACCTGGGTGAAGCCGACTGTATGACACAAACACTGTGTGTCCTCTATCCTGTGCAATAGTTGGGAATTAGGATGGGCATTTGGTGCAGCTGGCGACCGAAATACACTGAAATAAAAAATGAGCCGAAGGTGTTGCCGAAGTTGTTGCATGAAGGTGCACTCTGATGACATGCAGCCAATGCACCCGTGCTTTTTCTTTCCAGGCTGAGACAGAAATCCCAGTAGCCGCCCTCACTCCCTTCGGTCGTGACCTTGAAACATCATGGAACATCAATTGCCAAACCTTTGCCTGTCTTGGACTTCTACCCATGCGCTTTTCCAGCAATAACTTTGCCCCTTTTAGGTCTTTACGGAGGGCAGCCAGGGCCATACAGCTTTAGCCTGCAATGGTCGGCTGGTGATCCAAAGGACATTGATGTGTTCAGCTCTCTGGAAGTGGTCACTTGATGTTAAGCCTGCATAGTTCATATTGTACACTGTACAGGTGCAGAATCTAAATCAGCTGAGCTGCCAGGACTGTTTGTACATGAAGTGGCTTGTGGAGATCCGGGACGCCAACTACACAGGTTTGGACCGGGACATCAAAGCTGTGAAATTACAGAGCATAATCTGAGCATAATGAGTGCACATCTTGAGGCACACAACTAATCGCAATTCCGGCGCTGTTTCTGCTATAAGGTGGTGAGTGGCGAGAAGCAATTGAATGCGGACGCCAGGATAGAAGTGTGACCAGTCTGGGCTGCTCAGACTTTACACCGCGTCGGTTGATGGTTGCCACTGCATCTTTCTGCAATCTTGGCTGCCAAGGCTGCACCATTACAATGCTACATGCTGGCTATCTGGGTGAAGAGGCAGATCGATTCGGGGCTTCACAGATGGGAGAGCCTGGGAGAGCAGGTATTACCGAGGTATTATGCTTACTGTCTCAGTTGCAGAACATTTTCCCCTGCAGGCCCATCTTCGAAGCAACACAGAGTATGAAGTCCGGGTGAAAGAAGCTTGCAGTGAGCTTAGGGAACCCTTAGGGAACCCTTAGGGAGCCCTTCGGGAACCGATGGGTCAACGCGCTCTTTCCAGAGCAAAAGTCTGCAATGTGCAAGACTATGCAAGACTGGCAACTGAGACAATCAAGCCATGCCGACGATTCGGGATTCGAGGTGAAACCTATACGTCTATCTATGACCCTTGGGGAGGATCAAGAGAACGTACTGAGCCAAGCGACACCAAGACAGCAGAGAATTATGATCTTGTCTTTGCATTGAGGTGCCGAATACCTTGACAGTCCCATTTACTATTTGCCATCCAATGCGCTGCCAAGGACATGAAGAAAGACATACATGCCATATGCATGCAACCAGATGCATCATGCAGTGCACGCATCTGCATACAGTACCTGTGCACCTTACATGTCATTTAAATTTAAACGAATGATATGAATTATATATATACAGACATTATATCATGCGATATTGTTTCAATTTATTGAAGTATATTGACTACAATATATATCATCATGTATATGTGATATCATAATGTTTCAATTGCATGTCTTTGACCTGGCAAGGACTTTGGTGCCAGTGCCAACGTTGACACCAACTAATTTTGTTGTCTATGACATTGATCATCAGCCGCTGCCTCGGATGTATGGCTTGAGTCTGTTTAGAAGCAATGATGTAACATCACCAAAGTATACCAACGTGGTTCAGGGTACTGTCGAACAATGTCAAACTTTTAGTCATAGTTACAAGTCATTGAGACCGCTAGGCAGTTTCAAACCCGGGATGAACAGGATGTATGGAAACTGCTTTGTTGGCTTTCTGCAAGACTCTATGAAAGACGCAGAAAACTTAGGTCCTTCCGACTTAGTTGGGAAGCACCCGTCTCCAATGATTGTCGCTTCCGGAATTGGACAGTGGAGGCATGGGTCCTTGCTGGTTCTGGAGAGCGTGCAAAGGATTGACATCATGCGGGAGAGAAATGTTCCAAGTTTGCACAATGCAAATCCGTTGCATTGCAGATTCAACTCGCTATCCAATGCGTTTCCGGCCCTGGCTACACCAACTGCACAAACGCCAGCACCCGAATTTCAGGGAAGAACAATGAAGAACATTGCTGCTTGCTGTATGAGTAATGTGAGTAGTACGCTGAGTCAGAGGTTCGCACGGACCGAGGTTGTGGGAGAATCGTGGATCACGCCTTCAAGCTGTGTGATCAAGGACTTGGGGACTTGCATGATTCAAATACATTATATTATATTATATTATATCATATTATATTATATTATATTAGGTTATATTTACATTGTATACAGTATATATATATATATTATTCTGGGATTTATATATATATATATATGTATTTATTTATATTTATATTTATATTTATATTTATATTGTAGAGTTTCGTAATGATAGCTTCTAAGCATCTAGGGTTGTCCTTAAGAAATATATATATGCGCTTTCTATATTTGCTACTTGAGCAGCAATTAGGATGCACAGGTCCCATTGGCCATTTCATTTGCTCCAGTTGGCCGAAGTCTTACGTATATTTTTTTTTTGCAGCAATGGCTGCAGCACCTCCCGCTGCAGCAGCCGCTGCACCAAAGCAAGGGGTCTGATGATGCATTGCAACAACAAGAATTCCTTCAAATTTCTAGGCATTATTCCCTGAAAAATCTTTAAAGGCTTAAAGATGCAGCTTTCTTTAAATAAATACAAAATTGAATTGAAAATTAGATACCCAAAATACAAAGATACAAAACAAAAAAACCTTGAAGCATTAAGGACCACACAATTCCATAAAAACTCCGGTGTTTCCTGAAAAATCTGCAGAAAATTAAAGCCACGCAAAAACACAAAATTGAAATGACAATGACAAAATCAAAAATTGCAATTTCTGAACACATATTTTTTTCATAAATTAATTTAAAAATAAAATTAAAATTAAAAAAAACAAAAATACAAAAACACAAAAAAAAATAACTTTAAGGACCACACAATTCCTTAAAAGCTGCAGGAGTTGCTTAAAAGCTGCAGAAAATTAAAATCACAGAAAATACAAAATTGAAATGACAAAATGAAAAACTGCAATTTCTCAAGATTGTTTTTTCAAAAACTAAATTTTCAATTAAAAAATAAAAATAAAAATGCAAAATACAAAAATACAAAAATAAAAAAAACTTAAGGACCACACAATTCCTTAATAACTGCAGGCGTTGCTTAAAAGCTGCAGAAAATTAAAATCACAGAAAATACAAAATTGAAATGACAAAATGAAAAACTGCAATTTCTCAAGATTGTTTTTTTTCAAAAACTAAATTTTCAATTAAAAATAAAAGTAAAAATACAAAAACACAAAAATACAAAAAAAAACCTTAAGGACCACACAATTCCTTAATAACTGCAGGAGTTGCTTAAAAGCTGCAGAAAATTAAAATCACAGAAAATACAAAATTGAAATGACAAAATGAAAAACTGCAATTTCTCAAGATTTTTTTTCAAAAACTAAATTTTCAATTAAAAATTAAAAAAAAATAAAAATACAAAAATACAAAAATACAAAAATAATATAAAAAAAAACAAAAAAAACTTAAGGACCACAAAATTCCTTAAAAGCTGCAGGATTTCCTTAAAAGCTGCAGGTCTCTGTAGCTTTTAAGGAATTATAAAACCTTTACGCAATGTTTTTAAATTTGTTTGGCAAAAATCATTGAAAAACAAAGAAAACATTGCGTAGGAATTTGGATTTTCTACGCAATGTTTTCTTTGTTTTTCAATGATTTTTGCCAAACAAATTAGAAAACATTGCGTAGAGATTTCATAATTCCTTAAAAGCTACAGAGACCTGCAGCTTTTAAGGAAATCCTGCAGCTTTTAAGGAATTGTGTGGTCCTTAAGTTTTTTTTAAAAATTTATTTTTGTATTTTTGTATTTTTATTTTTTTAATTTTAATTTGAAAATTTAGTTTTTGAAAAAATATTTCTTGAGAAATTGCAGTTTTTCATTTTGTCATTTCAATTTTGTATTTTCTGTGATTTTAATTTTCTGCAGCTTGTGAAGAACTACTGCAGCTTTTAAGGAGTTGTGTGGTCCTTAAGTTTTTTTTGGTATTTTGGTATTTTGTATTTTGTATTTTCAATTTTCAATTAATTTTTGAAAAATATTTGTTCAGAAATTGTAGTTGTTCATTTTGTTGTTTCAATTTTGTATTTTTTGTGATTCTAATTTTCTGCAGCTCTTGCAGCTTTTAAGGAATTGTGTGGTCCTTAAGTTTCTTCATTTTTTTTTTGTATTTTGTATTTTTGTATTCTCAATTGTTAATCATTTTTTTGAAAAAAGTATTTGTTCAGAAATTCCAGTTTTTTTTTAGTTTGTTATTTCAATTTTGTATTTTTTGTGATTTTGTGATTTTAATTGTCTGCAGCTTTTAAGGATCCCGTGCAGCTTTTAAGGAATTATGCCTTAAGTTTCTTTTTGGTATTTTAGCATTTTTAATTTTTAATTATTTTCAAATCATTTTTGAAAAAATATTTGTTCAGAAATTGCAGTTTTTCATTTTGTCGTTTCAATTTGGTTTTTGGTTATTTTAATTTTCTGCAGCTTGTAAGGAACTCCTGCAGTTTTTACTAAATTGTGTGGTCCTTAAGTTTGTTTTTGCATTTTTTGAATATTTTTGTATTTTTGTAATTATATATTTTTGAAAAAAACAAACTATATAGTCTTTTTCATTTTGCTATTCCAATTCTGTAAGTTTTATTGTTCAGAAAATGCATCTTTAAGTAAACCCTTCTTGCCGATCCTCCCTGCGGCTTTTGAAAAAACATAGAAAGCTTATGGTTTCAACACAAGAAAGACATGTAAAAATCGAAATCAAAAAGAGCGCATTCCCTCTCCTACCTTGTGGCCAATGCACAGAAAGTATATATGCCAGTCAATGCTGCCGGTGCCAGTGCCAGTCTTGTCAGTTGCCAAGTGACAGTGACTCTGACTATATAGCCTAAAGTTTAGCTTCAGTTTAGCTCAGTCTCAGTCAGTCTCAGGCAACACATTTGCCACCATTGCTCGTAGCAAGTAGCAAGTTCTTGCAGTTGTTTTCCTTGCGCGCGTGTATTTGTCCAACTTAAAGCGTGTAATTGCCTGATGTCTCTCTGGGATCCGGAAAGCAAACAGCAAAAAAATAAATTGAACTCTGATACGGAAAGCCGAAAAATCTCAGTATATTACAATTCCAATGATGTCAAGAATAACAAGTTCGGCAAAGTGGAACCCCGCATACCACTCTGACTACTCAAACCCGAAGTGTCACACACAGTGACACACAGCATCATGTCTCAGCTGGTTTGATATGTTTCTTCTTGCATAGCTGCTCAATCTCCTTCTCCAACCTTATGGTGAATGGAGAAATTACAAAATGATGTCACATGTTTGAAATCAAAACTGTAAACAAATGCTAAATTGCAAATTACAACTGTCAACCGTCAGTTTCATAGTCAGCAATGACCAATGACCAACCACATGTTTAAAGCGGATGCGCAGCACCAGTAAACACTTAAAATGTGCGATCTCTCTGCGCTATCATTTAACGCTTGAGTCAAGTTACTGCCCTTTGGTGCATTGCTATTCAGGTGCAAGGGGTTGATTGATTCCAGCATTGTTTTTTTCGTATAGTTTTCAGGTCTGGACTTGCTTTATTTTTTGCGGAACTTTTTTTCAAACTATATTGATGTTTTTGCTTGAATTAAAGTTGTGCATATGCTTTAACCCTTAGGGGCTATAGTAAGTCCTTAAAAGCTGTAGGAACCCTTGAATTACGAAACACTACAATTTATATTTATATCATATATGTGTATATGTATATTTAATCTGATTCTTCGTCAAGTCATCACAAGTCGACAAAATTTTCCAGGAAGCTCTGAGACTTGTCCACTCACGAAAGCACGATAAATCATGTAACTGTGAGATCGGCAAAACATAAAGTAATTAATTATGAACCAACATTGAACACTAAGAACGAATAGCATTGATATTGCGCAGAGTATGCCAAGGCCCGCCAAGTAAGTCCTTCGCATCTGTTGCATCCTTTGCTTTGACGCTACCAGGATCGCTCAGTCACGAGCTGTCAGGCACGCTTTGCAATTGTGGAAATGCTCGGGGAAGCATCACAAGCAGTCGGGGAATCGTTGGAATGGCGATGCGTTTTGCTTTGCCGCTGATGACTCCTGATGCCTGAGGTGATTGGGGTCCAAAGCTATTCCTTCTACAATGTCCAAATGCGAGAGAGATGCGGAAGCCTTGGAGCAAATGGAAGAATTGCATAGCCGAAAGGAACTGTTGCCTTTAGTTGGGAAGCCTTCACCGAGCTTTGGGCAATATGAGGCATTTGTTCCGGTCCTTCTTCCCTAGATGTTTTTGTGTGGCCCTGTGCTTAGGCAGTGACGGAACAGCTGAAAGCGCCGATGCGACTTTGGTGGTGACCTGGCTTAGTTCACGTGCCCGCAGCCCGTGCTTTGAGGAACTGATTTGGACTAGGAAAAGGAAGAGATAGGAAGAGAAGGCAAAAGCATTCCAGACTTGGAAAGAGCAAAAGAGCATGGAAATGAAGCGCTGAAATGAACTACTCTTCCACATAGAGTATTACGCATCCATTCACTGCCCAAGTCTGCTCTTCTTGTACTCAGGCAGAGATTTGGCCCTTCTTAGCAAATATTCCAGAAAATCTGTGGACATGGCATGATTGCTGCGTTTGCATGAGTGTATTACTAATCGGACCGGCGTGCAGGAATCAATGTTCACAACTTGGAAACTTTCTCCCTGTGTTGTTCCCACGAGATCTTAGACATTCCGCAGAAATTCTGCATTTATGCGTTTGGACAGTTTGGACGCCCGGCCAGGACTATCACCTCCCCTGAACCCTTCACGCTGAATCTGAAGTGGGACCCTGGCGAGTCACAAGAGTGTGTCTTCTCCCACTGGGATGTGCAAGTGCAGGCCTGCACAGCTGGACAATCTGCACACAATCAACTGTAATCAACTTTGTGAGATTTTGTTTCAAATACATCTTAGTATACCAATTACTATATAATATAATCATATCTATTTAAAATATCTTAATAGGCCTCTTTATAATTCTTAGTACCCATCTGTCCTATATTGAAACGGTGCAAGTCGGAACATTCAAGATAGCGGTTCAGCCCGCTTGCGCCCAGGGCCGAAGATTTGGGGACCTGGTGGACAGATTCTCTCGCGAGTCTGTCACAGAGAAGTGGTTGCCTTCTCAGACCGGCCCAATCCGACGACAGTATTATCAAGTATATATATATGTCATATGATTATCTGTGCAGATTATCTATATTTATCTATGCATTGAAAGTATGTAAAAGTATGTAATGACTAGTGGACCCTTCTACTCTGCAAAGAATCCCAAAATGAAAGGAAACAACAAGCAAGGCAAGAACAAATCATACAAGTACTACCCGGGCAAGCCGGGGGCGGAAGTTCATGAGATGTCGAGCAACCGCATTGCAAAAACAAACTCTTGACTGACTTGACTGACATATCCGTTTTTTTTTCATCTTGTTCTTTCGTCTTGTTCTCTTGACATCTCAGCTCATCTCACTCTTATCTTGTCAGCGCTTCTCAGCTCATCTCAGCTCGTCTAAACTTCTTTTGAACATATGACGATTCAAAGGTGCACGCCCCACCAAACGCCTACCCCCTAGTGCTACTACGCTGATGCAGCTCACATCTCCGCAAAAATGGCATGCAGAGATTTTAAGATCCTGAGCCCATGGAAGACATTCGAGAATCTGATCTGTTGCGAGTTATGGGGTTTTGGAGCTGCTTCTAGTTGCACCCATTTCTATCCAGAAATTTCCGCACCTACCGTCACCCGAGGAAACAACAAGACTCATTTGTGTATATTTATATTAATTAAAGATAATTAAAAACCCGCACATACCGACGAATGCATTGATCATCGAAGATGCACATCGTGCGCTGAGGTATGGCGAAATCCTTGATCTGGAGAACAACTCTGCAGACCTCAATTGGAGTAGCAAACTCAGAGTGTTCTGGATCTCTATTGGACTCTGACTCAGCGAATCTCAGCGCAAACATGATCAACCTACATAGTAGACATAGTAGACATAGTAGACATAGTAGACATAGTAGACATAGTAGACATAGTAGACATAGTAGACATAGTAGACATAGTAATGTTAATAACTGTTAGAAATGATTGTTGCCCAGGTTCTACAGTTGCTTCATGTCGTTTGGAGGGTCAGCGAGATGTGGCGGAGTGCAATGTCAGCGGACTGGCTGGGAGCTCGATTTTTACGTCCTGAGTCTTCGAGTCTTCGGACGCGTCGAGTATTCGAAATAGTACCGCAAGCAATTGAAGGAAAACCCCTCCAACATCCTCCAACATCCTCCAACTGTTGATTCCTATGATTCCCAGCTTCGGAGAGTGTGGAGCTGTAGCGGCAGCGTATCATGGGGCACATAGCGCACATCGAGTGCGATGTGCGCTGATGTGCGCTGATGTGCGCTGTCAAGGTCAGCAACGCATTGTATGATGTTCGCATCGCCGAACGCTGTGTGGACTCTCGGGCTGATAGCCCATGGGTGGACCTTGCCTCAGCACAGGCTCCACCGAGATGCGAAGTGTAAAACATGACATGTTTATCGTCGACTACAGCGGACTATTGTGACTTCAACATGACATTTGAGTCGTGTATTCTGAGGTACTCGTGTACTCAGAGTAATTAATGACATGTACCCATTCAGATCAGAATTTGTCAAGTTGCCACATCAAACAGAGCTGACTCCCAGCAATAAGTATTCTGAAAGGTTTCCATTGCGTGTAATGTCGCGCATGGGCCCAAACTACGTCAAGGCCTTGTCAATGTCGTTGCCTGGCAACGCTTCACTGCACCGAGGTTGATCGCCTGAAAGCTACCATTCCCGCCTGGGCGTTGACACCGATTGGACCCAATGCCTGAGCCTTGCCTCTTTGCCAAGTACTTCAAGATAACATTTAAACATTTTTGAACGGCTTGTGGCAAACAACTTTTGAATGATGCCGTGGTGAAGTAGAAGTAGATGCCGTGGTGAAGTAGAAGTACTTCGCATGCCATGGATGGAGTGTCAATGAAGATCAATGAACAAATCTTCTCAAACTTGTTAAGGTGACAAATGTCACCATGACGACCATGGATTTAGAATGGGTAAGAAACTCAGCTTGACAGACTGCATTAAATGTGGACCTTTGAGCCAGTTTGTCAATAGTTGGTGGTTGCGATTATTTCCCGTTTCTCGAGATTCTCGTAGTTTCTCTCCTCTTTCGTGATGTGAGCTGTCAGGCAGCTAACGAGCCACGGGATTGTCTTTTTCAGTCGTGGAAAGTGGAGGCTTTGTTGATCATGTTCTGTTGTGGCTATCGCAGCTATTGATAGTAGCAGACGTGAATTCTCTGCATTCATCTAGTCTGATGTGCAATATTGAAGAGAAGTAAAAGGATCTAATCTTGCAGTTTGGCAGAAACTCATCCAGCTAGCAGGGAAGGTTGTGGGGCCAAGAGCAAAGACCAGGAGCACATCATGCCCCATGGAATAAGTATTGAGTTTAGGCACATGTTATTTTTCACAAAGCCGTACCAGCGGTGGCATTCCTGGTGTCAGGTCAAGCCTGTGGCTATCGCAATGGATTCGTGGATACCGGTGCCTGAGTGCTCTCTACCTGACCGCAGTGCCACCTCGTGTCGAATTGCTGGATCCTCAAGACTGCGACAAGGCTTGAATCGGCTTGAAGCAGCTTGAAGCGCTTCAGATGTTTTGCCTTGGGAATAGCACCCGAGTTCTGCGGTCAACAACTGAGGTTGGATTGCAAACCTACACAAATTATGACCTGCGAGTGCAGGAGACCTGCATCCACAACACCAGTGACAGTTGGTGAGCCCAGAAGCATAACAGGGCCATTGCATCCAGAGTCCAGGGAACAGCCTTGCAGAATCTTGCCAATATGTCCCTTGATCCCAGGTCCGTATTTGCTGGATGAGAGTTCGTTTACCACCCAGGTTCCGACCTTCTTTTGTGATCAGACTGGCAGTTCTTTTGCACCTTGTCTCACATCCCCGATTCCAAGCTCTTGGAAATTTCGTAGGCAATGTTTCTGCAATTTTCTGCTGGTGAGAGGTCGGTCGTGTTGTGTACGTGGGCACGAACCCGGACACCAACTCCAAGACGATCTTTTTCGGTTCGCAGGGACTAAATGCCAGAGCCTTGCAAGTGTACCTATATTGTACGCCTTTTGGCAAATGATGTAGACAGGCAGGTCGGTTTGATACCAGTTGTTAGTACTTCTGCTCGTTTGCACTCAATTTGGGTTTGGTACTGTTTTCATCTGTTTTTTGCTTGCAGCTTGGCATTTTGTTGCTCAGAGTAATTGCTGAGGCCTGCGCCTACCACACAAAGTGCTGTCAAGACGAATTCTCGTTGTGCTACGCGACAGACCAGGCCTCCAGGGCTTCAAACTTCCATGAATCTTCCATGGTGGTCATGCTAGCTATCATTGAAATTATCATTGAAATCATGCTAGCCTCCAGTCCGAAGTTGCTCAGGTGGACGTCATCCGAACAGATCTGCCAGACGCTGGCTGGGGTCAGGACTAACGAGACAGCTGCAAATGTAGCGTTGCAACATGGGGAGTCGAAGTTGAACGAGAGACACAACAGATTGAAATCTCGAATTTGCCAAAGATCACTTGCAGGATTTATACCTTTCCTGCGTGGATGATCCAGCAATCTCCTCAGACCAATCAATAGCACTGACTGTCAGATGCTGACAGATGCTGACCATGAAACTACAGGTGGCACAAGATGACATGAAGAGAATTGTGGCCCAGCCTCCTGCTACGTCCGGGCCACAGTCCTCCACGACACGTACAGTCCACTCCTTGAACCCAACATGCGTTGCACAGGCTAGAAGCAGTCGGACGTACGGCCAATGTCGCTCTGCCTTGCATTCTTGCTGCTTTTCACGCGTTTTGTTATAGCTTGCGACTCTGTTCATCTCAGTTCCCTGTTCTGCCAGTCTATCTCTCTGGTTTGGTTGCCATTCGGATCTGGCGGGCTGGGGCCTTGTGATGGTCAGCGGACCATGATGCAGGTACTCTGACAGGATTGGATCTCTCAGTCTGATCAAGTTGGTCGAACTGAGGTACATGAGCGACTGCTACTGCTCCGTTTGGAACATTTTCCTGAGACGGCAAGGCTTGGCGCAAAAGGGGACTCCGATAAATCTGGAGGCATCATAAGTGTGCGAAGCATTTTCTCCAGCCACTGTTAGTGATTGGTCATGCAAATGACATCAAATGCACAATGTCAGAGCACGCTTGCTTAGAGGCACACAGGAGTGGCTGCTCTCTCCCGAATGCAAGCCTGGCATGGTGCATCTAAGAGCTGACATGTTTTGGCAACTTGCTCACAGTGAGACACAGTATTGGAGCGCAGTGATTCGTAGTTATATTTTGGTGGAAAGCTGCCAAGTTCCAAGCGTCTCTGCCTCTGCAACAGATCGTGCCAGGCAACAACATGCCTTTTTCGCAAAGCAGTTGCACCGTGCAAGAACTCGAAGGGAATTGGCTCTTCCCAGCTCGGCACCAAGTCTGCGAACAGCTCAATAGAAGTTGTTTCCCTGTAAACGTTCCTGGCTTCAAATTGGACCACTGATTTCATTTGTGGAAGGACACCGTCTACGAAGTACGAGTGCGACAAACTTGTAGCTGGAACCTTTGAAGCGCTTTGATGATACCTGTATTGTGCTTTAGTATGTTTTAGTATGCTTTAGTCACTTTAGTCTCAACATTGTAACATTCTCAACTTATATCAATCGTATCAATGACTTTAGTCTCAACTTGATCATGACTTGATATCAAATGGAAACCCAGGAGATCCCAGGAGTCTGAGCCTCTTGGGCGTAGGATCTTACACTGCGTCGCACTGCGTGTGAGGCTTCGATCGCTTGAGCAGTCCGTTTGTGGAGATCCAGGCCTCGGGCCGACCCATTGTCGAAGAAATATGAAGAAATAAGACTTGTGTTCCAAGATGTGTTCCAAGTCTTATCCAAGATGTTCCAGGCATGGCATCATGGTATGCTTCTTTCGCATTTGCTTCGACCATGCTTTGCATGTAGAGTTCATGTAGAGTCCTAGTGCGAAGATAGCGAGATGAGGTGCCAACTTTGCCTGGCTGCACTTTCTCTCAGCACAGTGGCAGAGATGACTTCTTTGTTTGCGCGGAGCGGAGTTCGTGAGCTTTGCATATGTCACAGCCACATCCCACAGTCAGATCAAATCGGTGTTGAGTTCCACAGTGTAGCACAGACTTTGGTCTGAACTAATCACCTGAAATTCTGAACACAGTCGATACATGTCGGTTTACTTCCGGCTTGTGTTGATGCTTTGGCACCTCATTTGTGTACTGCACATCGTTCAATATGGAGAGTCCTTTGCAGGACGGCTTTGAAAGCAACATCTTTGAAGGTGGTCGCTTTGATGGTGATGGCATTGGATGTTGGCAACGTGCTTCGCTGAGACTTTTGCTACAAAGGCATAGGACCGGGTAAGAGATACTTATAGCGTCAGATAGCGTTTCGTTTGATGCTTGTTTTAGCTGCCCCACAAATTGGTATGATTGTCACACTTTGAGGTGGTGGCCGAGCAAAGTGCGCGATGAACTTTCCATACATGTTGCTGGCTTAGAATAGGTTGTCCCGAAGGAAGGAGACCTTAGATCACCTTAGATCTGCGACGTTTGGAAGTTGCACGATTTAATGAGGTGTGCAAGTCCTGACAGCTGTGCGAAGGCTCTAAGCCTCAGCTATCCTGATCTGGGTCGCTTGCGAACAACACATTCATTTCCAGCTGATTTTCTTGTGAACACAAATTTGATATAATTTGATTGAGTTCGATCAAGTTTGAATCAATGGTCTCTGGAGGTGACAAGTGCTCTCGAGGGCGGCGTGAGAGCGGACCGCTGTTGGATGGTGTTGGGTTCAGTTCAATTTCAACCACAAACCCCACCATCACATACCATCACGGCATCACTGCATCACTGTTCCTTTTTGTGTAATGTTCTCGACATGGATAACATGTGAAGCATGGAGAATCATGGAGCTGCATCAGGACCACTGCTGCATGACCACGCCTTGTGGTAGTCAGAATGGCGGGGACAGGGAATGCATTGTGCGCCCCCGCCCACCAGTGGACACCTCAGCGAAGAGACGCACAAGTGCCACCGTCTTGCAGTCACAACAGGCCTTTGCGTTCGAAGCATCCCTAGTCATTTTTATATTCTTTCACCAAATGCCCTGGGCGAACAGAATGGATGAATTGGACGAATTGGACGAACGTGATTTTTGGGTCTTGAAAAAGCATTGACTCAGATGCCTCACCCAAATAGCAAGAGCTGCTCCATTTGCTGAAGCTTAAATAGCACTCCCCTTGAGGTTGATCTGGTTGTGACTTCAAGCACACCAGACTCCCTGACTATTGATTGGAAGGATACTGCAAGCACATATTTTGGAATGAAATATAGTAAAATGGACTATAATCGGTTTTTGCAGTGCTGCTGTGATGTTTCGAATCTCACAACACCACCAGCGGCGAGTTTTTTGATTTGCCTTTCCTTCAGGAGCAAGGCTTCACTGTAGGTAACTCAGTTTTATGCCGACAAATTCTGCAATCCATCTTTCTGTTGATTTCATCTTGCAACGCAAAGCGCTTGAGATTGAGCCAACCAGTCAATCAGTGTGTTGAAGGCTTGCCAGTTTGCGTCACTATCCTTCAATTCCAGCTTGGAACATTTATAATATATATATAATATCATGTATGTGCAAATATAGGGATGTATAGTAACCATAGTATCAAAGCAGCGATTCTGGTACGTCGCTCGAAACGCCCCGTCTTCTGCCTGCCCAGGACCCAACCTTTTACCCATGCAGCTTCCGCCGTTGGCAAGTGGATTTGAGCCATTTCTTCTTTGAACACTGGACGGGGCTACGGGGCTACCTTGAATGTGCAAGCACTTCATGCTGGTTTGTGACATCTTGGAACTGTTGAAACCTCTCGAAGATGTAGAATACAGCTCTAGATATTTGAGTATTTCTGGCTTTGGCCTCAACTCACACTGAAGTTGATCAGGAGTTCTGAATGGACTGCTGCGCCAGAGTGCTTCATAGAGGAGACTGCCCAAGCAGTGTTGAGTGTCCAATGAGGAGCAAGTACCAGCTGTATCAGCAGATGTCTGAAGGACCGTAGAACCACTTTGTGCACGGTTTCAGGCTGGTTTGTCTCCAGTCTCTCCAGCACTCACTGAAGGTTGCTGTTCTCTTGGGTCCAAGTAGCCTCTGCGTGCTAGGCTTGATCAGCAATGCTTACTACTATGTGCGGATCAGGGAGGTTTGCCAGGAGCAACAAAACAGAAAGCGGACATTGAAAGATACTGTATTTACAGTTATTTCATGTTATCTACATGTAAAAACGTTTGTTGCATTTTATGTTTTCCTTTCGTCAATTTCGTCGATCTTCGTTATTCTTCCTGATTCTTTGTTGTCCAACTTCTTCGCCAGGATGATACACTGAATGGAGACTACGAAACCTACCCAACACTGGCACAGGTCGGTTGTGTCATTTTGGAGACGAATGATGCCATACTGCCACACTCTTCTTTCTTGTTGGCTGATAAGGCGTACTGGTCATTCGTAAGCCGTCGCTGGTCAACTTACCTTTATCCAGACCAGGTGAACCCCTTGCCAGCCACAGTCGTCTTCATCTAAGCGTATGAGTTGACTGGACTCTTGAGCGAATCTGCTTCAAGCACGTTCAAGTCTTGTTTGAACTGCCAGTCAGATGAAGTGAGATGAAGTCTGCATCAATCCGAATCAATGCCTTCAATGCCTTCAATGCCTTCAATGCCTTCAATGCCTTCAATGCCTTTGATCACGGGAACGTGGCTCAGGTCACTGGCCTCTATGATGTGCAGCGTGAACCATTCTGGATTCTTGCACAGACCTCATCTTTGAACGCCGAAGGGAGACCTTGCGGATCCTGTTACATCCTTGCTACATCTTGCTGTTCCAGACTGTGAAATGATCTGGAAAGGTTGCTTGGACACCTGGAAGCCTCAATGACTGTGTACACGTTGGATGGCAAGTCAAAGCAGCAGGCAAGTCGCAAGTAGCCAGTCACCGTGGGAACAGTATTAAAAAAGTATATACTCACACCAGATTCCAAAATGTTTCGAAATCGCCCAAGAACTCGTATCAAGCACAAACGTGGATGTGAACATATTTGAACTTGAGTCAATCACACAATTCCCATCGCTACACACAATTCCTATAGCTATTCCATGCTATTCCCATTGCAGGCGCAGTGTCACACTCGTTTACAACAGATGGCATCGACAGGGAGACTTCTTTGATGAATATGTACCGAGCTTAGTCCCAGCACTGTTTTAAACCTCCTTTCTCGAGCAATTTCTGATGCTTGATCAAAATAGGGTGTCTGTCTTATCTTTAAGTCAAATCTGCAGAGTCAGATCCTTCATTGAGCCCAAGTCCTTTGCTACCAACAGACGTTTCAGTTGCTTCCGCTTAACTTAACTTTGGCTGCAAATACAAGCAAGGACTGGCCTGACTGATGGTGTCACCTATGAAGTCAGAGCCCAAGAGAGCTCTCATTTTAAGAGACGAACTGGATAGCACAAAGAAGTCGACTGCAAACACACAGACTACAGAGATGCACAGAGTCCAGCAAAGGTGCAGAGGTGCAGTTTGGATACAAGTTGAATTGCAAAGGAATGTGTGAGCATCCAGACTCCTCTAGCTTTTCATGCCTTGTCGTTTAAAATATGTCGCAGTCTTTCCCAAGTTGATTTATGTCATAATATGTGTATATTATATATAATATAATGTGTTTGTCTATCTATTGCTCGATCTATCTAGTTATGCAGAGAGAGGTAAATAGACTCTTCACCTTTTTGTGCATACAAAGATGGAAGAGCAAGAAACCATATGCTCTCCCTTGGCTGTTGTTACAACATAACTTGTCGGCTCGATTTAATGTCTGAGGTTTCGGTGTACGAACTGTTTGGCGCCAAGAGCCCCCTTGTTATGGGTTATCAGAGACTTCTTTGAAGACCTCTTCAATTCCCAAGCATGCTGTAGTTTTGTATCACATTTGCTTTCCACTTGATTCATCAACGATCTGCTGAGATGTGTGAATCCATTGGCAAACAGCGAGGCACGAATTGATGCAAAGATATGCACAGCAATGAATATTTGACTGCATCGACGAGTATTGAGGAAGGAAGATGTGCAAAATCGTGCAAAGATGTCCTAAAGATGTCGTCGGGCCGAACTAAGTGATGCAGGTGATTAGCTTCACAACTTCGACCAAGCCAGAAGCAGCTGGAGCTCCTGTGCCCACAGTGGCCGCAGTCTTCACCTCAGGTCGATTCGAGCTAAGAGCGCTGAGAGATTCTCTGAGAGATTCTCTGAGAGATTCTCTGAGAGATTCCCAAAATTAACCGAGGCTGGTCCTTACTGGCTGTCTCTTGAATGGCAAGCTGGCAGGCCTGGTAGGCAACAACTTCAAGATGCCACAGTCACATACAGTCATCACTAGGTCGCTACTCCCAAGCTGTAGGACACACACTTTGTGTGCAGGAAGGGGAGATGCAACTTTATGCATTGGGATGTCCAAGCTCGGAAGACAGGTGCCAGGAATTGAAAGTTGGGAATCAAAAGATCGGCCGGCATTTTGCCATGCTTGTTGCAGCACTTGTTACCCTACAACTGGTTTCTTTTCCAAGTGGCAAGTTGGCAAGTTGTCCGTGCAAACAGTTTTTGCACTGTGTGCTGTGCCTCTTTTCCAACTTTAGTGGGCAGGCACTGATATGTTCGTCTCAGCTGCGCTATGCACAGAGTCTATGCCTTTTAGTGTGATTTTTATATGGGCTCCATAGCCAATTCACAAGCACAGCTGATGGTAGTCAATTTCCGGGTGACGGGGATCTCACCAAGGCAACCGGAAACTGCAACTTCTTGCAACGTGACGGAGACTTATGCATGCTACAAAGACAAGACCTACACCGGATTTTTCAGTGTACTCCTGGCAAGATTTAGTGTGACAGACTGCAGATGACTGCAGTCTTCGTGTTTTGCTGTTGCTAAGCTGTTGCTAAGCTGCTATGCTGTCGCTTTCATTGCTGGTGCGCTGCAGACTAAACATGTGCAGTGCAGGTTTGCATCCCGGGTGTAGACTGTCCAATCACGGGCATTGAAAATGCTTGTCCCTTAGAGATCCTTAGAGATCCTTAGAGCGTGAACTCCTGGCCTCTTGGCACTGTGGCACTTGCCATGTAGACGTTTGTTCATAATTCTTTCATTTTTTTTTCATGTTGACGTTTGTTGAAATATGTCGACATCATCTTTTGGTGCATTTAGAATTGAGATATGTTTGTTTGAAATTACTGCAACTATATTATACCAATTGTATAGATCTTCTCGATTTCGATTGCACTAACACAACGGCACTACTGTAGCAACACCCTTGAGGTCACCGCCTGTCAAATTGCTTGCAGTTTGCAGCCAGCTTGTCGTGCCTTACGTTTTCAGGCGAGGCTAAGTATTTCAGATTTCATACCACAGTACACTGCACCGGTCAACTGGTGTCATGTAGAATCTGCTGTTAGGCAGCTTATGGCCATTGTTGGTTAGTCGACAGCAGCTACAACCAGCTCAATGATGATCCACTTCACCAGACAACAGGTCCGGAAGGGGGCTGTTTGATGGGAGCTTTCAATCACTTTCCATGTCTCATTAAGCTGTGATCAACTTCTGACTGGCAGGATGGTATAGGATGGCATGGTTGGTTTTGCTTTCTTGGCACATCATACATTGAACTTCATTTCTTGTTAGTACGTCCTATTCACGTAGTGTCGCACAGCATTGGATGTCTACCAGTCCACCTTTCATGATATGAGGTTGTGCGCGGAATTTGGGACTCGAGAGCTTGTCTGGCTATGAGCTGCAGGTGGCATAGTGATAGCAGTCGGTAAAAGGGAAGCACCTGGTACAATGCTGCTTCATGTGTGTATATAGACATGGAATATAGACATATAATGACATACACATATAAATATACAATCATATGCATGCAATTTACTACATGTTCTACTGGTCTTCTTTGCAGGTGTGCTTGATGTGTTTCGTGTGCCCGTGTGCCGGTATGCCTATGACATTACGAGAAACGCTTTGTTTTCCTGGTATGAAAGATGTCGGACAAGTGACATGAATAGTTTCACCGAAACTCAAAAGCTTGCTCCAACAGTTGCAGACCTTAGCCAATACTGGGACTTTTGGATACCTTCGGCAGGTGGCTCAACGATGTGAAGATTCCGAGGCTGACAGCAGTCTGCCTCTTAGTTTCATGCGGCTGTGCTGCATCGTGATGCCAAGTTTCCTGCAACGTTTTATTTTCTAGCAATTGAGGGCAAATCAGATCCTACAAAGCAAAGTATCAGAGAATAAAATTCAATAATTAACATTGATCAACAACCACTCATAGCAGTTCAAGCTTCTGACTTTAATCTGGCTTTTCTCCTGGGCGTCTGGAAGAGTGGGCCTCTGTGATCAGAGCGCTTTTCTCAATGTTGATCGACCCCTTCCTGCCTCCTTTTCCCTTACGTACGCTGTGCTCCCTTGTCTTCACCCTACCTAGTCTTCCTACCTAAGCTGGCTGTCACTTTGCACTTTTTTTTTGCTTGTCTTGGCTTGTCTTGGATCTGATGAAACTTTGTTTTGAATCCTCGGATTGTGTTGAAACTTTTTTTCTGAGCTGCGGACCTGATGAGGTCTCGCGACTGTGCTGCCTGGTTTGGCGCGCGAAACTCAGTGCTGTTAGCAGCAAAACATGCAGCATCGATTCAACATCGACTGCCTTGCTACACCCCTACTACACCTTGTCGTGCCATGTCGTGTCGAGGCCCAACCAAACAACAATTGCACCTGCCACACAGCCAGAGGTGCCCAAAGGGCATACTGCGGCATACTGCGGCATACTGCGGCATACTGACCGCGAAGAGACAGTGACACTGGAAGTGACACTGAAGTAATGTACAGATTTCTGCTTTGTGAAACTGTGTCGCATCCAGGATGTCCAAGTGCAAGCTGTGGTCGGCACCACCATGAGGTGTGGCATTAAAGCAGCGTTGCAACCCTTCTTTCTGATTCTTTTTCGTTTTTGTGCTTGAGAAACACTTGTGTCCCGGTTTTTGCCTCCACGTCTAAGCCGCATGGATTTGATGTGATTCATTCCTGGAATTGAGCTCTGTCCTGAAAAACGGTGTTGCAATTTGCAATTGCACAAAGTTGAGATTGCTCCAGGCTCTCTTTCACACCAGGAGTCTTGAGAGACTACATGCCAGCAAACGGCTTACTCCGGCGTCTATTTTTTGGTATTAAAATGGTCAACTTACTCCGATGCATCGGCTTTCTGAGATTCGCATCGGTGGGCCGCGCTTGGAGATGGATGACAGCACCGATTGCGTTGGAAGCATAGAGTCTATAGAGACTTGAAGCCCCATGACGCCTCACGACAGCGTTGCAACTCGTTCTAAGATCCCTAAGGTCTTCCACCAGTGGAGCTTCCAGGTTAAGCTGAACAGCAGCGAGGCCTCGTTATGCCTCGTTGTTACTTTCGAAAGACAATGTGCTTGATGCAACATCATAAAGCACCAACATTTTCAATCATCATAAGTTGATCTGAACACTCT